TTTCATCTTTAAAGTTAAAGACATCTTTCATTCGTGAACGTAACAATAGCAAGAGCGTAGGAATTCAATGCCTTAGTGTAACACCTAATTATGAAATAACGTGCTAAAATGACGTGCCGCCATTATTTACATAAGCGTGTTTAACCCTTTGGGGAACGTCATGCAAAGAATATTGAGTTGAGGTGAAAAGGGGTTTAACGTTGCGTCCAAGATTATTGCACTTATATAGCGACGTGCATGCACGTGTGTGTGTGTGTGTGTGTGTGTGTGTGTGTGTGTGTGTGTGTGTGTGTGTGTGTGTGTGTGTGTGTGTGTGTGTGTTTTTGTGTGTGTGTGTGTGTGTGTGTGTGTGGCTGCTTGTACTAGTCCGGATTGATGCCAATTTATAGTGCTAGCTCACTGAGATACCATGCCGCAGTTTAACATGAATACCCCACTCAGACACAATGTACTGACTCCGAGCCGACCAGTTCTTGTTTTAGCCCCTGTACCAGACAGGGTAACAACAAGTACCATCTTTTAACATCTTGTGGTATGATGCGACCGGGAATCGAACCCCGGACCTTCCGCTCTCCTTGCGGACGCTCTACCACTCGCCCACGGAGGCGGTCCCAAAGATTAAGGAATGATGGCGTCGGATCTATGAGTTTATTAAAAGTAGTTTGTATTTGTAGATTGTGTTAGATTACCCCATTTGCATATTCATCGGATCGTGATACGCACAATTTATAGGTTAGCTCATCGATAACACTATCCAGTATATGGTAACTGTAAATGCTATTAAGTGACTTTGAACGTGAACTCGATCCATTGGCAGTCATTCGTCACTTCATCATTCGACCCTCTACTCAAATCTAATTCTACGAGCCATACCGGTAACAAATTTATACAACACCGAACTGGCTGCCGTTGTACAAAACAACCTTAGCCCTACGACTGTCGTAAGTCTATGTTAATGTATGGGAGTTACGACCACCTTAGCGCTACAACTGTCGTAAGTCTATGTTAATGTATGGGAGTTACGACCACCTTAGCGCTACAACTGTCGTAAGTCTATGTTAATGTATGGGAGTTACGACCACCTTAGCGCTACAACTGTCGTAAGTCTATGTTAATGTATGGGAGTTACGACCACCTTAGCGCTACAACTGTCGTAAGTCTATTTTAATGTATGGGACTTACGACGACCTTAGCGCTACAACTGTCGTAAGTCCATGTTAATGTATGGGAGTTACGACCTCCTTAGCGCTACAACTGTCGTAAGTCCATGTTAATGTATGGGAGTTACGACCACCTTAGCGCTACAACTGTCGTAAGTCTATGTTAATGTATGGGAGTTACGACCACCTTAGCGCTACAACTGTCGTAAGTCTATGTTAATGTATGGGAGTTACGACCACCTTAGCGCTACAACTGTCGTAAGTCTATTTTAATGTATGGGACTTACGACCACCTTAGCGCTACAACTGTCGTAAGTCCATGTTAATGTATGGGAGTTACGACCTCCTTAGCGCTACAACTGTCGTAAGTCTATGTTAATGCATGGGAGTTACGATCTCCTATGAAACATATTATATGTGCATACTTAGCCTTAGTCAATGCTGATAATATCAAAACTAGCACTAGCATATGTGACACAATCATATTAACTGCTTGTAAATATAACCTTAAAAGTGTCATCATGAACTTTAACAGTACTGGAATATTTCCTTGTAAAAAAGAATGGAGAAGAATTGTATGTGATGCAATATCCTCATATGAAGAAGGAGAGGTCATTGAGAGAGGATCTGGTCCGATACAGGTCAGTTCACTCTAAACTTAAACTACATGTATTATGGAAACTAGGACTAACTTATCCTCATCTAAGGTATTGCATCCAATACTCCCTTAAGATAGCTTCCCGACCCATTACATCACGGGAATGTTCTAAATGTGGCAGACATGCCTATGATTTTGTACGTGTACTTCTACACTGTGAATATTTTATAAATGTTCGAAATGAATTCTTCTCCACCCTCATTGACAAACTGGATATCGAAAGTTATGTTCAAATTGAACCTCTGGAAGAAAATGATACGCTCGCACTATTCTGGGGCTCAGTAAACATACAATCTGGAATTATGAACCAGATTACATGAGAAAACATATCATTGATATTCTGTGAATATGTCTTAAATTTCAGAAACGTATTAGATTAACCCCAAATTCATCTGTTGTATCGTTATAGTGCTCACTTGTGTACATAGTAAATGACGCATATATATATATATATATATATATATATATATATATATGTGTGTGTGTGTGTGTGTGTGTGTGTGTGTGTGTGTGTGTGTGTGTGTGTGTGTGTGTGTGTGTGTGTGTGTGTATTTTACGTGTTAATAATGCACCCATCTATATAAATACTAGCACAATGCATTTGCTCTGAGAATATCAGAGATTTTGTAAATCTTCGGATGTAACTTCTGGAGGAAATAAAGAAATTCATTCATTCATTCATTCATTCATTCATTCATTCATTCATTCATTCATTCATTCATTCATTCATTCATTCATTCATGGGAGTTACGATCACCTTAGCGCTAATTTCGCTTTGAACAACGACGCCCTTGACTACAAGCAAATAGTTTTCACTTTAGTCTCACTTTATAAATTCGATCTATGTAATCCAAATCAATGTCTTTAAAGCAAATTGGGATGACTTTTATATAAAGTTCGCAAAATATGAGTTGAGAAATCTACAAATGTTTTTGAATTAGAAAATGCGCTGGGTTTTACGCTATATGTAAGCGATATTATAAAGAGAACAAAACTGGGCCTTATTGCACTCATGTGGCCACTCATGTGACCTTATTGCACTCATGTGGCCACTCATGTGACCTTATTGCACTCATGTGACCTTATTGCACTCACGTGACCACTTAAAGGTAGCGAGCGAGAGCTCATTCCAAGCGCTGCTTAGTCCCAAACATACGTCAAAACAAGTAGCTATAACACTGGTGTCATGCAGGAATTCCACTGTGATGTACATAGGCCACGTGCTTCTTTGGGTCTTCCAACCTTTTTCATATCGCTCGATGACTTCCTTTGATCCCGTTGACCTTCGATAGTGCTCTCAGTGTGTGAGTTTGTCGGGCTGGCCGCTTGTAGCAATATTTCAGCCATATCGCGGCAGCAGTACAACAGAATTGGGCTTCAAGAATTATGTGGAGAATCGAACCCTGGTATCGAAACCAATGGTTTAAGCACAAGGCTACTCAACCGCCTCAATAACGCTGTCATTATTTTGAATATTTTTGTCTGAATTACCATCACACACCTGATCTACCCGTGACGTATTTTAACCAAAGACGAATTTTTCTATGTATCTATTCCATATTGATGAACGTTCGAAAAGCCTGAAGCAATTACCTACGTCAGAACTTTTTACAAAAGTACAAACCCCTAGCGAATGACCGGACGGTGATTTGATCACCAGCGTTGTGATCGTGATATATTTTCCTTCCCACATCCTGATGACATACTATTGATGGATTATAGATCAGCGAAGCTGGGCGTTTGCACCGACTTAACGTCACACTTCCCCAAGGCACAGCGGACTAGCGTCGCCTTGATCGATCAGGTGTAAATGACTCAAATTTTATTTTATATTTTATCTTTCTCCATAAAGTAAAAAATAGTTAAATTATTAATCAAAATATGATTTTTTGAAACACCATCTGGCGTTTTTGAAATAAATTAAAAAAGCATAATTATAGGTTATTCAGCGTATATATGTAAATATATGGTTACCACTTCGGTGTAAAAGTGAAACACACATTTGTATGACATACATATAATTTATAATTTGTTTAAAACATTATAATGTGGATAATAAACATCTTGACAATATTTCTGTCCATTCGTCTATCGTCATAATGTTTTCTAAATGTACAAACGTTTTTCTGTGGAAGATTCTTATTCACTCAATGTAACCTCTTAAACTCGAGGGGCGGTAGGCTTGCCGAGTGGTTAACGCGTTCGTTCGTCACGCCGAAGACCCGGGTTCAATTTCCGACATGGGTACTATGTGTGAAGCCCATTTCTGGCGTCCCCCACCGTGATATTGCTGGAATATTGCCAAAAGCAGAGAAAACACATACTCAACTACTCGTAAACTCGAATTCTGTTAACACGGTGCACCATTTAAGAAAATAATCTTGACCGGCAATATCTTACATAGGCGCTCCGCTTCTCTCGCACAACAGATAATTCGATACATTGTAATCTCTAGAAGGACTTCGACTGTAAGGGCATTGTATTTCAAAACGTTTTCTTTGGTTTGGAGTTTTTTTCTACGATATGAAAATTACACATCACTTGGACATATGACAATGGTATGAATGAGTGAGTGCATGTTGTTGAACGCCGCAACATTATTTCAGCTATATCATCGCGGCAACCTGCGACCCAGTCTAGATGCTACAACCGGTGGTTGATGGCATAAACAGCGATCCAAGACAGTGGATGTCATGTTACAGGAACACAATCAACCATTATGTATCGTACAATTTGTTCATCCGATCCGCATTCTATCGGCTGTACAGGAATGCTGAGAAATCTATTCTTCCTCGAAATCCAAATGAGATGGCAGTGCTTCTTTTGTTAATGACCCAATGGTCAAAATCGCATCACTGTTGCGTGACAGTTTGACGTCCCATAGCTTCTAGTGTCCGTTAATCGTGGGTTCGAATAAAAAATTCGCCCGATTACATGTGGCACTTCGAATAATTTGAAGTTTAACTCCAGCCATTTCACACAGAATATGTAGTGTTATTACTTTGAAAGGAAGTTCAAAGAAAGAAGGAACATGCTTTATTTGTATATGCTCTCTTCCCTCATTACTCCGTTTTCCATCATATTATAAGTACACAGTGTAACGTGTGAATATAAGAGACGACCATGTAAGCTTCTATCCATTTGCCTTATATTTAAACTAAAGAATGAAAACACAAATCTTATTTTTTTCAGAAATGTTATTTTAATTTTCCAAGTTCCATGTTAATGAATCTGAAACATCTAGATGTTTTTACAGTAAAACATTCTGTAAACGCCGAAGACATCTAACTGGAATAGAGGTACAGTGACACTTTATTCCAGTGGACTTATTCCTATACATATTCATCTTTCTTAAAATCGATGGCTATGTCCTGAAAAGGTCCTGGTGTACCATTATGGTATCCCAGAAAACACAGACAGTCAACCTTTGTATATATTCAAAGGGACATTGTACGATACCTACGATTCGTTTATCAGGTAACAGATTAACGAGATTCAACTGTATGTGGTTGATTTTAATTTAAAAATTCAATAAAATATTCACCAACCGTTTTATTGTTAAGAAAGATGATCATTATATTTAATCAGAAAATACCCACATTCACGAATTTCTCCTACAATGTTGATTCTGAAGGTCGAAATGGTTATCCTGAACATTGTAGTTGACGGGATTGCAATACTCAAACTGTTTTAAGTATTTATGTGTCCCATGTATTCTTGTTCCATTTTATGCGCCCCCAAATAATGCCTGGAACTGAGGAGCACCAGCTCCAGTGGTACCAGTAGTTCCTGGAAGTCCTCCAGTGCCGGTTGATCCTGGCATAGCACCTGGCATAGCACCTTGCATACTACCTGGCATAGCACCTGGCATAGCACCTGGCATACTACCTGGCATAGCACCTGGCATAGCAGCAGAACTTGCAAATAAGTTGTTGCCATTCAAACCCCCTCCAAAGCCAGGATTAGGTTGGATCAGCTCTGTGGCCCTTTTGGCATCACGGCCGATCTTGCAGCACAGTGGTATGATACTGATACACGATCCAGCGCTTAAACCTCTGGTTGCACACAGCTGAAAGTCAAGACAAAGGGTTACTATGACGCCAGTGTTAGGCATAGAGTTACATGTGGTAGGAAAAACGCCCAAGTTACTTTAGCAGAACTCTGGCACAGTAATCGTGAGCAGGAAAAAAAGAAAAAGTTGTCACCACACACAGTAGGTGAGGAGAAGTGGGATTTAACGTCGTGTTCAAGGTTATTGCACTTATATAACGACGTGCATGTGTGTGTGCTGGCCCACTGAGATATCATGCCACAGTTGGATGTAACATGGACACCCCACGCAGACACATTATACTGACTCCAAGCCGGACTATCCTGGTGCTATTCCCTTAATGCCGAGCGATAAGTACCATCTTTAAACGTCTTTTGGTATAACGCAGCCGGGGATCGAACCACATGCCTTCCGCTCTCGCGGCAAACGCTCTATCCACTACACCACTGAGGTGGTCACCACAGTCAGTAACTCATATTCCAATAAGCAAGTGACACTGGTCATGAGCGAGTTGGGTTCATCGCAGTGTTGAACACTATTATGTGTGTTATATCACCACGTGGGAGCTTGTCGTGAGAGGAAAGAAAGTGACGCAAGTCACTTGGCATAAATGGAGACACTCTGCACAGCACCTTGACTACGGCCCACTTGACCACGATGGAAAGATGAGATAAACTAATGACAAGGCCACCAACATGATATGCCAAACAGACCACAATCACTGATCTTTGGAATTGTTGTCATCCTTATCGTGAACAGATACTATATATACTTAATTTAATACCTGCCTTCAAAATAATGGAAGGAAGAGGTATATTCCCCACTATGGGAGAATAGAAGGGGAAAATCCTAAAACATATTCCATCACGAAATGATGATGGCGTCTTCCATAGCAAATGTGTTTTTCCTTAATGCATACATTTACAACAAACCAGCAAACATCACAAGGTGTATATATAGTCATACGAACATGCTCATCTGTCAGAGATATAACATTGTACCAGTTTAGTTTGGTTGTAGTTCTCTCTTGTATGCATTTTAAGTATATTTAAAAAAAGAGAAAACAAAGTCACAGGTTATTCACTAAGTTGTGTCCTTAAATTTATCTCATTTAGAATCATCAAACTTACTGCTAGTCCGTGCCCATTAAGAGCCGCTGCATTGGCGAATCCCTCGATGTTAGTGGTGGATGTGTGTCCCTGGTTAGGAGCCAGTGTGAATGGTTCTCCAAGTATTCCAATCCTGGGAAAAATATTTATAAGAAGAATGAGTTTAGGAGTCAGTAATAATGGTTCTCCAAGTATTCCAATCCTGGGAAGAATATATATAAGAAGAACGAGTTTAGGAGTCAGTAATAATGGTTCTCCAAGTATTCCAATCCTGGGAAAATATATATAAGAAGAACGAGTTTAGCAGTCAGTGATAATGGTTCTCCAAGTATTCCAATCCTGGGAAAATATATATAAGAAGAACGAGTTTAGCAGTCAGTGATAATGGTTCTCCAAGTATTCCAATCCTGGGAAAATATATATAAGAAGAACGAGTTTAGGAGTCAGTAATAATGGTTCTCCAAGTATTCCAATCCTGGGAAATTATATATAAGAAGAACGAGTTTAGGAGTCAGTAATAATGGTTCTCCAAGTATTCCAATCCTGGGAAATTATATATAAGAAGAACGAGTTTAGGAAACAGTGATAATGGTTCTCCAAGTATTCCAAGCTTGAGAAATTATATATTAAGAACAACGAGTTGGGTCAATTTTAAAAGCTAACACTGATGATCCTACTGGTAAAGCTTTCTTTTTGAGTTAATTGCAAATTTATTCTTAGATCACATGGTATCCCATAACAAAATGTATGTGGAGGGTCGAAATGGATTATAATCTGTGCTAAGCTGTTAAGCAATTTCACAAAATTGAGTTCGACTTTTCAGAGTAATACTTTGCTCATGGGATGATGGACATAGTTCGAGACAGCAGGGAATTAGACACATCCAGTTCGACACACCCGGGTTCAAATAGTGATATTTTTACCGGGACCGGACTGTGTGTTCGAACCAACTGGGATTCGCTACAACGAGATTCGCCTGTACATGTCCGTATTCGTCAGGTTTTACTTGTTGACAAATTAACGGAGTGCATTTGGGACATTAACTTCATTTTGTCCATTACTGATCCCGAAAATTATTGGTCCAATTTAACACAATTTCTTTATTGAATGTTGTTTGTTTCGCCGGATTGGATTGTATTCATAAAAAAGGGTTTCATAACTTTTTCCTGGTATCTATGCGTACATTGCTCTTGTTATGATAGATTACATTTTACTATCATATTGGCTGGTATTTTACATTTTGTAATTACACGCACATTATACATCACCGGGTGAGTGAGTGAGTTGGGTTTAACGCTTTTAACAGTATTCCAGTGATATGACGACGTGTCAGGTAAATGTGGGAGGAAAGTCCGAAGTGATGCAGGTATCAGACGTTTACCACTTCGGTGAAACCCAAGAGCGCGGGTATGGTGCTGACAAACCTAGAAACATAATCGGGGCGAACCGGGATTCGAACCCACAATCATAGGTTTCTGGCGTACCCAAGGGACGCAACTCTGCACAGCGAATCGCGGCACCTTAGACGACTGGGCAATCCGTGCCCCCCTCAGCCTCCATAAATATCCCAAGTGGTCATACACTGAGTATTGAATATTGGGTAGTATATAATACATACAGCACGACGTATGAGTTTATGAGATTCTTGATACAATATTTTGCATTTTACATTCTAAATACGAAATAGTAGTACACAAACCAAACAGAGCGTTAAAGGTTAGGCTCATGATAAATTACATCCATGGCCCGCCTCCACAAAGCGATCTTAGTGCTACTACCACTAATCTGTGTTAATAAAAAATGTAAGGAATATCTAGAAGAAGTCAAAACAAGGTTGGAGAGACAACTTCATATATAGGGGCTAATCACTTACCCACTCACTCACCCACTCACCCAACAACTGACTCGCCACTCACTACCAACTCTCTCAACTACTGACTCACCCACTGACTGACTGACTGACATACTCACTCACCCATCCTGCTACTGGCTGAACCACTGGCTGACTCAACCACTGACCACAGACTCACTGACTGACTCACCAACTGACTGAGTCAAAGACTCAAAATCTGACCCAACTACTGACTTAATCACTCACTCAACCACTTACTGACTCACCTACTCAACCTCTGACCCAACTACTTGCTCAACCACTAACTGATTCCACTCAACCACTGACTCACCGACTGACTCACTCAACCACTGACTTACGTACTCACCAAGTCAACTACTGACCCAACTACTGGCTCAACCACTGACCTATTCACTCAACCACTGACTCACTGACTGACTCACTCAACCACTGACTTACTCACTCACCTTCTCAACCACTGGCCCAACTACTTGCTCAACTGCTGACTGATTCACTCAACCACTGACTGACTCACTCAACCACTGACTCACTCAACCACTGGCCCAACTACTTGCTCAACTGCTGACTGATTCACTCAACCACTGACTGACTGACTGATTCACTCAACCACTGTGGGTGACTGACTGACTCACCTACTGACTCAAATCACTCACTCAACCACTGACTCTCTCACTCACCTACTCAATCACTGACCCAACTACTGACTCTCCCACTCATTCTCTCACTTACTCTGAGTTCGGTCTTCTGCGTGCGAACCAAACGTTCTGAGCGTTGTCGATGATGTTTCCGAGTGCCTGGCTTACACAGCCGTCCTCTACACGTCCGTATTCGGTTGCAATCAGTTGGAATTGCCCTCTGGTCTGTGACTGACCGGAAACGCTCACTCGGGCCTCCATCTGGACGCGTTGACGGTCAAACCATCCCCCACCCCATCTGTTCTGTCTTGCCTGTATGAGACGGACATATGTTATTTCATATGTCTAGCTGTCTAGGTTATCATGCTCAAGAGAAAGAATAATGGCCTTGCATTTTAGCGGAAAATATATTTCATATTTTTTGGAAGTTTGACACATTCATAGTTTGTGATTGGTTGTGATGTGAAATATGTGAGGTGAGGTGAGGTGAAATTGGGTTTAACGTCGCGTCCAAGATTATTGCACTTATATAGCGACGTGCATGCACGTGTATGTGTGTGTGTGGCTGCTTGTACTAGTCCGGACTGATGCCGATTTATAGCGCTAGCTCACTGAGATACCATGCCGCAGTTTAACATGAATACCCCACTCAGACACAGTATACTGACTCCGAGCCGACCAGTCCTTGTTTTAGCCCCTTAATGCCGAGCGCCAGACAGGATAACAACAAGTACAATCTTTTAACGTCTTTTTGTATGACGCGGCCCGGGATCGAACCCTGGAGCTTCCGCTCTCCGGGCGGACGCTCTACCACTAGACCACGGAGGCGGTCTGAAATATGTTGAGCAGGAGACATTGAGAGTAGATGGCTTGGAATGTATTGTGTCTTGTCAGTCGTGGGGCAGTGGTGTCGTGTCGTGTCTTGTCGTGGGGTAGTCGTCTCGTGTCGTGTCCTGTCGTGGGGCAGTCGTGTCGTGTTGTGTCGTGGGGTAGCTGGTCGTGGCGTGGCGTGGCGTGGCGTGGCGTGGCGTGGCGTGGCGTGTTCTGTTCTTTATTCATATACCCAACAGGGCTTGGTACCAGTTTCGGTGAGATAAGTTAACGGCACTGAATAATTCTCGAACTTGAAACATGCAGAGTTTGCGATTGGTATACTGTGATGATTTCTGGATGACATACGTTAACCCCAAATGAGCACATGTGACTTTGCTTTTGAAGAACAATGACCTAATGATAAAAATGAAAGGTGATGGTCCATTTACATACCTCTACATTAACATACACCTCTACATATGTCAAGACGAGGCCCTGTGGCCTTTAGTACAAGTTAACGTAAAAAATGTTGAGAATGGGATCTTATATTGAACGCATGCTTGAGGAACACAGCAACAGATCTTATGACATCAGTATTTTTAGCAGTTTTACATATTCACCACTGAGTCGGTACTAACAGTTGTAACAGGATGTTAATAATGTGTTCTTATAATTGAATACTTATCACAAATGCACAGGACATGACACCAGTCGTAAACAACATATATATATTTCAATTTGTACACAACGAACTTGAAAATTCCACTGTCTAACATTTCCGCGATTCCGAAAGTTTCGAAATTTACTAACGAATCATCTAAAAACTTTGCAACATATACGGGCATGTGTTTTGGCATGTTAGTTGTCAGATGGCCTTTGTGTTATGGTAAAATGAACATTGCATGATGGAAGTCACTGAGTATTTTCGCCTATCCTTGCCAATAGATCAACAGGTGCAAGTTTGAAACGCGACTCCGTCCACTCGAGGCATATGACTAACAAGCCGGTGGCACAATTGGCTTCTTGAAGTCACTTCTGCCATGTCACATGTGATTGAGAAACACCTAGAAAATTACATACATGAATATTTACACTAATTAACAGTGTAAACAAGCATTTAGACATATTATTAAGTCATGCTAACGACAAACTAGTTTGAGAAAGAAATAGGTGTACATCACAGTCCTTACCCCATCACGGAATGTCACTCTCAATTCATCCCCATTGGTATTCCGTCCTATGCACGTGTACACAGCTACAGAAGAATATAAAATACAGTTGCATTTATTCTGAAGTTGCAAGCCGAGAACAAGTTTTTTATTTTTTTAGACGACAATCTAGGTACAGTTTGTAAATACCATTGCTGCTGTACCCGCTGTGATATGATGGAAATATTCATATTCATATGGGTGTATGATTCTACATATTTTGAAGATTGTACATATGAATAAAATACGAACACAAAGCAGATGGTGATGTTTTGTACAAATAGGCCCTTTTTAATTTAAAATTTTGTTCTCATAGTATTTCGTTATTGGTTTTTCATCAACAATAATAACCACTGCCATCGACTGATGAAAATGCATTTTTAAAGATTTATTTTTACACCTTGTTCTCAATGAAATAATGATTGTTACACCTGACAAGACTATCAAAATAGATATGTAAGGACACTTCAAACTACGAAATAAAGAACACACAAATGAAAAATACTCACTTATCTCTTCCTGATTTCCGAAACCATTTCTATCTCCAAAGAAAGAATCCCTACCGAACCCCAATCTTTGGAAGGGGGGAACGTCCAGCCCTCTTATTAGCGGTGCGACAGGGTTCTGGTTTCCCTGCCACCCAAACATAGGTTGCTGGCCAATAACAATTTGCACTATCCCTATCAAAGAGAGAACTGCGATACCATGAGGAGCCATGATGTAAACTCGTACAGGTCGACACAGGGTGTGAACGACTTCTTTGACGTGTCCTGCTTATAAAGGTCGTGGGACATAAAGGATAGGTTTAGTATCTGTAGCCAATGAAGCTGTCGTACATTTTATCGCAGGCATTGCCGTTGATTAATGCAGATACCCTTAATCCATGTGCACTCTCCTTGCGTTTTAACTCACGAGCACCTCAGGCGATACTTTATATTTAATTAATTGTCACTTTGCCCCAAAATATCCACGTTCGTTTTGGTTTCTTTAAATCGATTTATACCATAACAGGGCTTAAGCTATATTAATTTGTAATATTGGTTTGTTATACAGTCACGGATTTTCTGTTTTAAGGGAAGATGCTAATGGACATTGTCATTAAGATTTTAGATTTATGAATTTGTTCTCCTAGCTTTTTAGATTGGGTTACTTAATAGATATTATTTATTGTACAATTTGGACAGGATTAACTGTGGATTTATTTTGTTTAAAAAAGGACCTTGCTGCATGAAGTGTTACGTTTTAATCGAATTTTGATACGTCCTTTCGTGGAATCGGCGTTCTTAACGTTCAGACAGATTTATAAACTCAGTACTTTTGTTAATCTTTACTTCGCATTGTGTTATTTAATACATGACTTCAACTGATTTGATAAATGTTAATTTCAGACACAAATTATCCCCTTCATTACACTGCTTAAACAAAATGATACAACATGTTAACATATTAATTATATTGTTCTTTAATTAATTATTTACCTTACATCATGCAAGACGAGCATACAGTGATAATGTCGGTAAAGAATACTTGTTGTTATTTAGGATATAAGTGTATTTATGTCTTTATTTAGAGGTATAAAATCATATATTTGAGATCGCTTAATTTGATGTGAAACCGGAAATTTCATCACGTTGTATCATGTAAACAATCGCGAGAGTTGTGGGCGTGTGGATATGACAGTTTCCACGTCATCATTTAAATTGTACTATGTGTATATTGCTTTAGTTTGTATAAGCTTTTCATCACTTATTTTGGCGAAACATTTTGACATACGTGATATCAATAATCTGTAGGCGAAACCCCTCGGCGTCATACACAGCTGGTCAGTTTGACTAATGAGGCGAAATACACGGTGGAAATCATCATTCACCAGATTGACAATTCTTGACTAACGTCATTTGCTTAACCGCCTCTTCTTTGAAATCATTTTCGTATTTGGGTGTGTAAGTTGTATATCGTGTAACACAGAAGAACCGATTGTCGTGGCATCCCTATCTAGACACACACTTCTACATAAAGAGGCTATCCTAATAGGGCGGTCGGGTAGCCTAGTGGTTAAAGCGTTCGCTCATCACGCCGAAAACCCGGGTTCGATTCCCGACACGGGTACAATGTGTGAAGGCCATTTCTGGTGTCCCCCGCCGTGATATCGCTGGAATATTGCTAAAAGCGGCGTAAAAAACACTCACTCACTCACTCACTCACTCACTATCCTAATATTTAGGGCTGGGACGGGTATATCGGGTACCCGGGTCGCGTGGGTACTGAGTAGGACCCAGCTACCCACAGGACTACCCGGACCCGTGGGTACATATTGTTTAATGACAAATATTATCTAGAATTATATGGTTACACTACAAGTCACTTTCTTTCTGACTATGCACCCATTCCTTCAGATTTTTCATATGGTTGAATAAAGATATAACGTAATTCAACTGCAGTGAATGAAAGGCCAGATTGTTTAATACATGTATCTGAATACATTTTGCCAGGGCTATTCTAAAAATGTTCCCAATCGGACATTTTGAGACATCTCCTTAGACCTACAGCGGGTACCCGGGTAGGGTCGGGTAATAGGGGGGTGGGTACCCGAGTAGTAAATTTGGACTCGTCCCAGCCCTATATCCTACCATACATATCTGTATTAAGATTGATTGGCAGATATAATAAAAAGTAAGTGTCAACGTATTTGTGCTTCCTCTTTTACATGTAATTGTTGTTCAGAAGTGCAGTCGCGGATACTTCTGATTGACCAGTAAGGTCAATCGTGGTGGCGGAACATTTCGGGTTATATAACTATAACGGACTGGGTTGCTGAAATTATTTGCTAATTATTTCGTAACATAATCCCTTCTGTGGTCAACACACTGGTGCTCATAATGTTTGAGGGCCTCGATCCCAGTGGCGGAGAAGGATTCCTCCCTGTGGTCCACAGCAGATATTGACGTCATCATCATTTGCATAATGCTTGCCTGACAGTTTTTGTAAGCTTGGTAAAGGGGTGGAAATGTGACGGCTGCATTCCAAGCCTGTTCATTCAGTTCAACACGGCAGTTTGTGCACAGATGTATTGACCAGGTGGAAGTAATGGCGGTTGATGGTCAGAGCTCTCGGGAGGTAGTCGTCCAGTAGGATTCTTTGGAATATCAGAAAACCGAAGCCATCCTTCTTCTTCGGAGGAGACGTTAGGTGTTTCTACTGCTTTGACTGTTAACCTGGTATCATCACTGAATTTCAGTGATCCATTCGTATAATTTTCACCAACAGTTTGCCTTTTCCAGCCAATGGTATCTGTTTCGGTAGAGTTTTGACACTTGACGTTGAATCCTGCTGAACCTTTGTCATGCTCAGTTAGAACGCCTCCGTGGTCTAGTGGTAGAGCGTCCGCCCGGAGAGCGGAAGGTCCGGGGTTCGATCCCCGACCGCGTCATACCAAAAGACGTTAAAAGATGGTACTTGTTGTTACCCTGTCTGGCGCTCGGCATTAAGGGGCTAAAACAAGGACTGGTCGGCTCGGAGTCAGTATACTGTGTCTGAGTGGGGTATTCATGTTAAAACTGCGGCATGGTATCTCAGTGAGCTAGCACTATAAATCGGCATCAGTCCGGACTAGTACAAGCAGCCACACACACACACGTGCATGCACGTCGCTATATAAGTGCAATAATCTTGGACGCGACGTTAAACCCCATTTCACCTCACCTCACCTCACCTCATGCTCACCTCACAACTCATGGGAGAACACAAGTCATCATGTTTACAGTCATTTCAATGGCGTACGCAATCGGGATGACGTCGTTAGAGGTCTACCCTTTGTGCAAATACAGGAACGTGACGTCACGGTCATATTTTTTTATTTAGCAAAGATTGCCTGAGATACATAGCTTTGACAGTGAACATTAATATATGTTGTACAGATGTTTGATGGGCAGATGACATTAAAATGTTTTTGGAAATTCGTAATATTGTCTTGTTATACATTCGGCCCTCAAATTCGGGTAACATTTGCTTATCAAATAAAGTGGTACTCATCGTTAACATAATTATAAGTTACATAAACTGCAAACCCGTTCCACGCTCGGTTTCATTTTGTGTCTACCAGATTTGATCCAAATATGATGGGAACTACACCGGAATCTGGCAAAGGCATGTCTAAATTTCTTACATGGTAACACAGTAATATATATTTCCAGGCCAAAATATTGCTTATTCAAAGAATATTTATATGATATTGAACTTTGGATGCCAATCTTGTTCATATGAAAATCACACTTGCCTCTTCAGCCGTTGCAAGAAGAATGTTCTATTTTCACATTAGGGTAATTGTTATCATGAACTCCACAAGCATTACTCTCACGTCCAAATCAAATGTTTCGAGATTTATTTATATGCCATGCGTACATGTATGCGAGATATTCACATTAGTGTAATGCAACTCTTATTATTTACACGAGCTTATTGGTTTGACGCACGTTTTGTCAGCGAGATTTGCATTAATCAACGCAACAGGTTTCACTCCGTGGTCTAGTGGTAGAGCGTCCGCCCGGGGAGCGGAAGGTCAGGAGTTCGATCCCCGGCCGCGTCATACCAAAAGACGTTAAAAGATGGTACTTGTTGTAACCCTGTCTGGCGCTCGGCATTAAGGGGCTAAAACAAGGACTGGTCGGCTCGGAGTCAGTATACTGTGTCTGAGAGGGGTATACATGGTATCTCATTGAGCTAGCGCTATAAATCGGCATCAGTCCGGACTAGTACAAGCAGCCAAACACACACACACACACGTGCATGCACGTCGCTATATAAGTGCAATAATCTTGGACGCGACGTTAAACCCCATTTCACCTCACCTCACCTCGATAATTTACAGGCTGCAGGATTAATCGGATCGGGACTATTTAGTTTCACTATGTACGTTTACATTCGCAAATTGCAATGGACAAGGAATAATAAGGACTTATTTTGGCCATACGATTTGCATAAAATAAGAAATAGGAGTAGTGATGAAAGTTTTCAGGTGTTCTTATGAATGACAAATATGCCTTGTTCTTTTGAAATAGTTTACTTTCAAAAACACCAAATGTAGAGTTAAGGCTCAAATGCGCCTCAAAAACGCTGATTATTAAGCTTTTCTGGAAGTCCTTTTCTATGACCCAAACGTATGTTCTTTGGAGATGTCGGTAAGATCCTCAATTGACGGACTCGCTCATAGGTGTATCGAAATTCGAAAAGATCCGTCCGTTTTCGCTTTTGTTGCTCAAAGGTTTGTATCTATGCCATAAGCCAAAATTTGCGATAGACACGACTGAGACTACTTAATAGTCATATGAACATGTCCAATACGTTTCATCACACCATTTCAAAGTTTTCGGTAACTTTAACATTTCCGGTAGACCAACAGCAGGCATATCTTGTATACAGCAGTAGTCATGGTCCGGCTTTACTTTGTTCCAGAGGTAGGCACTTAATATCACGGTACACGTTAGAAATAGTGCAATGGTCTTGGTTTAATTTAGATATATGGTTTATATAAACCATTAAATTGCCGTTGTATAAGCAACACACAAAAAAACCGTGTCTTTTAATTAAACTTTTTATTTTTTTTATAACAAACGAATCACAAACGAAAAAGGAAATTATAAGTTAAATAATGTGCATTCTGTAACACTGTCAACCAAACTATCACCACAAATCATTCCTGATACATGTCATATTATGGCATAATGAGGAACCATAAAGTATTATTATCATATTATCATAATGAAGATTCCGTGCTTTGTCTTATGTATATATTTACAAAAACACTTTTTAAACTTTTGTTAAGATAACATGGCCAAAAACATTTTGGAGTGCAATTTAAATATTGTATCTAAACGTGCCAAACATATTTCCTACATGAAAAACAACACAAAAAGTCACCAGAAGTTCAGGATTCCTGGTTTTTATTTTTTCCAATACATATTCTGTTTTTTGGTTTTCAACTGTGCAAATATATGTGATGGAAATTAAGAAGAATCGACCCTTGATTGCAACATCGAACATGTGGCATATAAAATTGCTCTTCGGAACTGAACATGGGCAAGCTGTTTGCTTGATAAGGTTTATTTCTTTCCTGCGGTGTTACCAAACATAAGTCCAGCACCGGCAGGCGGAGACCCAGGGAGACCTCCAGTCTGCTGTCCTGGTAGGGCGCCGCCCTGGTTAAGACCAGTCATGGGTTGTCCCATAGGCATGCCGGCGACTCCAGAGACTCCACCAAGTTGTCCCATGCCTCCCATCTGGCCCATGCCTCCCATCTGGCCCATGCCTCCCATCTGGCCCATGCCTCCCATCTGACTCTGACCGAATTGGTTGAAGGGGCTGGCGATGGGGGAGGTGGCGCTGGCGGAGTCGCGTCCAATCTTGCCGCACAGGGGGATGATATCTTGGCACATTCCGTTTCTGATGTTCATCGACAAGCAGAGCTGAAATCATGAATAGACGATTGCTACTGGTTATTCACAATATACTAGTGTGTGGATCGCTGAAACATGTGTTAACTAGGTTCTGGATTTTGGGTTCAGTGTTTCACGGAGAAATAATAACAATAACAATAAAAACAATTATATATCTCATTAAATACAGTTTGATTGCGCGAATAAAGGTCAACACTATTAATAAGATCCTGTACAGACAGATGAGGTGGATTGCGACTTATGCTTTGCAACACAAATACACGCCGTGATATAGCTGGAATATTGTTCAAAGCGGCGTCGGGGCGGTCGGGTAGCCTAGTGGTTAAAGCGCTCGCTCGTCAAGCCGAAGACCCGGGTTCGATTCCCGACATGGATACAATGTGTGAAGCCCATTTCTCGTGTGAGGACATGTGCCGTGATATTGCTCGAATATTGCTAAAAGCGGCGTAAAACCATACTCACTCAAAGCGGCGTTAAACTCACTCACTCACTCACTCATACTGACAGAATGGGTCGTAAATAAAACCTACAGCAAGACCACGTCCATTCAGTTCTTCCAGTGCCTCAAAGCCACGCACGATTCCGCTTGAGGTATGACCTTGGTTGGGTCTGAGCACGAAAGGCGATCCAAGCACTCCAGTTCTGTAAGATGAATTGGTAAAATGCATGAAATAATCAAATGTCACAAATCCACCATCTAATCAACACTGATAATTGAGCATGATATGTATAGAATCAACAAATATGTGATTTCGGTTAAAGGATGTAATATTTAAGGTTACTTTTACGGGATGATTCAACCGTACTTTTACATCAGAAGCTTACCCTTTTCACGAAAACCTGGTGTCATCACTGATTTTCAGTCATCTATTCATACAATGTCCACTGTTATTTAGAATCTGTTTGACATTGAAACCATCAATGTCCTCAAGAGCAGGCTTACTCGTAAATAATAATCTGCTCCAGAATCCCCACGGCGTGCCTGCTTGACAGTAAATTGACTTGGGTTTAACGCCGCTTTGAACAGTATTTCAGTTATAGCACGGTGTTTCATTTTAATGTGGGAGGATAGCGAAAAGTGATGCAAGTCTCAGACGGGGATTCACAGGCTTCTGGCTTCTGGCACGCCTACGGGACGTAACTCTGCACAGCGATTTCCGGCATCCTAGAAGACTTGGCAAAAGCATCCGTGGTCTAGTGGTAGAGCGTCTGCCCCGAGAGCGTTCCTTAACCTGCCTATCGCCCGTCATTAAGGACTGGTTTGCTCGGAGTCAGTATCCTGTGTCTGAGTGGGGTATTTATGTTAAACTGCGGCATGGTATCTCAGTGGTATAGCACTATAAATCGGCATCATACACACACACACACACACACACACACACACACACACACACACACACACACACACACACACACACACACACTAGCATGCACATCGCTATGTAAGTACAATAATCTTGAACGCGAAGTTAAACCAAATTTCACCTCACCTTCACCTACTTCATGCCGATGAACTGGGTGATCTGTGTTTTTGTGAATTATTTCTTAGCAAACAAATGATGGGAATGGGGAAATCTATAAGGACTTACTGGGAATTAGACTCTCTTGGCTGGAAGAAGTTCATTCCTTGGAAGTTATCCACGATTCTGCCCAGAGCTTGGCTTGAACAACCATCCTCCACACGACCGTAGCGGGTGACCACCAACTGGAACTGTCCAGCGGTCTGAGACTGACCAGACACGCGGACCACAGCATCCATCTGAATGCGTTGTGGGTTGAACCAACGGTTGATTTGCCATCTCTCTTGCTGATCCTGCAATGATAAATTTATGCATTAAATCACCTATATCCATATGTTAAATGAAACGAACTGTAGGGAAAACTGTATGCCGTAATTCAGTAACACTGTGCAGGGCCACGGAGCTGATCCAACCTTATCCCGGCTTTGGAGGGGTGTGGGGGTGGGGTGGGGGTGGGGGTGGGGGTGGTGGTGGTGTAGGGGGTGGGTGGGGGTGGAGGGTGGGGGGGTGGAGGAGGGTGTGTGTGTGAATGGCACGCCCAACAACAACATGTCGCACCTTAATGCCGAACGCCAAGAAGGGGAACAACCATCTTTTCACATCTTGACGTGACTCGTCAAGGGGACGGAACCACCTACATTCCGGAAATTTGTCAATCCGAACAATTACTCTATAAAATGTACTGTTCTGGTTAATGAGGTTTTACTGTATGTCTATTCCACACAATCTATCTTCCTAACATGACATGTAAATGTCATTGCCTAATGATTAGAAACCTCTGTATTTTCAACAAGAACCCCATGCGTATAGTGATTTCAACCTTTGTGTCGGCAACATGAAATATCCTACACACGTGTATGATATACAACCGTGAAGACGTCTTAACAGATATATAGCGACAGAAAAGTTCTACCTCTCCTGTATATCCTTTATCTTACCTCAGGTTTCCTCTTACAAAATATACCCAATTCCACCACCCCCACCCCCCGCCCACCCCCCTGGGGATTCCGGGTTTAAATATGCTGGTAGCAGTGAATCGGATGGTCAGTCTCTGTCACTTAGTTGATTGCACGTCATCGTACCCAGAGGGCATAAAACATTACTCAGGGAAATATGTTTTTTTCGCTTTTTTCATAATCTCACTGTTTTTGTCTGGTATAGACTCGATAATTAACAGGCCACAATCATATTGCTGAGTGTGGTAAACAATAAGCACAAGCAAACATACCAGTCTTGGCTATACTATAAAAAAAATCCCCAATTCTGTAATAACAATAAATATATACATACTGCTTGAGTGAAGGTCACTCTCATCTCATCGCCATTTGTATTTTTTCCTATACACGTGAAATAGCGTTCTGGAAAGAAATATTCCATATCAGCATATTGAACATAGATGTGAAGTATATTTACGGGAATATACTTTGCAATGATTATGATTTATTTAATTCAACACAAACATGGTTGCTTAAAAATACATTTTCTAGTGTTTGTTAGAGGCAAATCTATATCATTTTCGAATGATTCTTATCTATACACAACGAAAATCATAAAAAAGTAGAAACATTGTAAATACTGAAATAGCAACTAAGCCATGTTTAATTTACAAAATCTCTTGGAAAATTGAAAAAATGATAACCAAAATAATGTAATAGTTTCTAATAATTTCATTCCTACCAATCACCCGCGTATTTATGACAAAGGATTCTTACTTCTTTCTATGTCTACTACACACTTTTAAGATGTCATTTTGATAGATTTGCTTCACCTCATTCGTTTACGTTTGCATATTCTCGCCGTGGTCTAATTGGCAAATTGGGAACACTGAATATGATGTAAATTGAAAACATTATGATATTAAATGCTCAATTAAGATTATAACGATAACCTTTCTAATTCTGTTTCTGTAAATGGTCAATAGCATGGTCAAAAAAATGTACTCACGGGTGTTCCGGTTGTTTCCCCAGATTCCTTGACCACTTCCTATTCCACCTCCAACTCCACCTCCAACTCCAAGTCCACCTCCAACTCCAAGTCCACCTCCAATGCCAGGTTGACCACCGGGTTGAGGCCACCCAGGCTGTTGTCCAAAGTTACCCCAACCGTTGTTACCCCACTGGGCAGAGATCAACCTACCCATCACACCAACAAGGACGAGAACAAGGGTACTTTTGGACGCCATGATCATGTCTGACTAAAACAAACGACCGATTCAAGGTATGGACGACTCCGAAATGGTTACTGCTTTTAAAGGTGGTATTAACTAAAGGCGGAGTGTAGCAGTCCCAGCCAATAGGTGTCGCATGTGCTTATATGATTATGAAGAGCGTCACACTTGAGGAGTGGAGTGATTGATTCATACACCGACACCATCCTTGACACTTCCTTATCCTATGTGCCATTCAGAGTTCAACACGGTCCTGGTCAACTTCCGATTTGACCATTCTGTAATTGGCAGTAATAATAGCTTCAGGAATCTGCATTCCTTTGATTTTTTTCCAGGTATGACAAACAGCCTCAAGCCACACTTAAACGCAAAATATGTAGTAGATAATTAGGGGTGAGGGTCTGATTTTAGGTGAATGATACTAAAAATGTTTGCGTCAGTTTTTAACATTTCGCGAGTTTGAGAGTAACACCTCAACTTACAGCCACCCCCACCCCACGCAACGCTCACCCCAACTACCGCATTTTGCAGGATACTACATTTGATAGAACAAACGTGTATAAGCATATAATTATATAATTTGGTGATGTTTTCGACAAATGTGAATGGCTTTTAATTGGTGAATCATTTGCAGTCATATATCATGGTATGTGGAAATTGTAAGTGCGCACCCCCCACCCCCACCCCACCCCTTGTCCCAAATAAAAATATTAGGGTTTTAATCTAACAGTAATTTAGGGTTAGATTGGCATTAATCGGAATACAAATGGCCAAAAAGGATACACTATTCCGATATCAACTGAGGATTCACAAAAAAGTAATCATCGATTATGAAACAGTGTATGATTTATTCTCTATCATTGTAATTCACCATTGATTTGCTGCAAAATCTAAACAAGACATTGTTTTAGAGCAACACTACAACACTAGGTATTATTTTAAGTGAGTTAGTGAGTATGGTTTTACGCCGCTTTTAGCAATATTCCAGCAATATCACGGCGGGGGACACCAGAAATGGGCTTCACACATTGTACCCATGTCGGGAATCGAACCCGGGTCTTCGGCGTGACGAGCGAACGCTTTAACCACTAGGCTACCCGACCGCCCCTATTATTTTGAGGGTAGATGTAATTGCTTTAATCAAACTGAATTCCATTATATTAGAAAGAGATCATCGACGTAATAACAGTAGAGTGTTTGACTTTTTCTTCTTATAATCATGCATTTATTTTTGCAACATAATACTTAATTAGAAAAAATTTCTTTCGACTTTCGCTCAATACTTATGTATCAGTGCCAGCGATTTATTACAACCTAACATTTTTTTCAGGTCAAATTAGTTCTATATTAATTTTATTACAACTGTTGTTACAACTAAAGATCGTGACATTCTTGATAATCCTAGTTTACACTTGCGGTTAATCTTATGAATGGTATTTTTGGAGGGTCTTCGGGCCATATTCAAAACCTTTTTCACAGGACCGGAAGCTGGTGAGAAGTTGACTAAGGGATGTCAGTGTTGATGAATTGCACTTGGTAAGGATATGTTTGATCTACCCGTAATACACGCCATAGGGTGTATGTTAACATACTCTCTTGACCCTACACAAGTGTGTCAAATCCATCAGAGGGCTTTGGAAGAGTCACTTGGCGGTGGGACATCAATCAGATTATGAGCACTGATATGAATGAAAAGCGACGAAAAGAAATCTATGACTATAATATAATATAATATACTAAAAATCCATTGTACGATTCCAACTGTTTCAAAAGCTGAAGTGTTTGATAGGCATTACTTTTAAGTTGGCGGATGACAAAGTAGACACAATTTATCGATAACAACTTTTTGTTTACTGAAAAGGCGACGTTTCGGAATAGATCCTTGACAACGTATAAATTGTGTCTGGTTTATTTCAAAAGCATGTGTAATAAGTATAAACACACCACTCTCAAGTAGTATCGGTACTGGACCTTCTTTTATACATATGAATATGCCAACATGAATCGTCCATAATACGGGTTGTGTAGTGCAAAGCAATTCCCCATTTTGACATGTGCCAAATGGTCCCCCGTTTTTTTTCAGGTGAACAATTGTCTTGCTTTTGCATGTGTTTGTGTCGGGTGTCACCGGAGGGGCAGGATACGCTCACCTTTTTGCTTCATAAACGCATGCTTATTATTTTAACCTCAACCTTGATCAAACAACTTATGAGCAAGAGTCTTATGACGCTCTTTGAAATCTTGGTAGAAAGAGACATATTCGATTGTATCTAAAAATGTGTGAAATGTAAACACCAAAGGCTAGAGCTGATGGAATAATGCTCAACATGATGGGAAAGTTGACTATTGGAAAGTTGAAGTCATCCCTCTTGTCATACAGATTTGTCACGGGATAGTGCTTTGTCACTCTTAAGCGTTATGCAGAAATCTAAATATGAAACAGATGAGGCGGTCTGTGGATGATGCGACAAAGTGGATCTCGTTAGACTCTGACTTGGTTGATTGTATCCTATCCCAATTGCGTGGATCGATGGTCGTGTTGTCATTCCCTGGATTGTCTGGTTCAGACTCGGTTATTTACAGCCCACCGCCATTCAGTGGACAGCGTAAAACAACAATCTAATTAACAAATGCAACTGAAAATACTTGCATCGCAGAACAGTTCAATTTGTTTGTACCTAGTGTGATGTACAAAACCTCAATGAGACTGACATTGTCTGTCTCTTAAAATGAAGTTTGCAACTCGAAGTCATGAAGGTTGGAGCTTTGCCAATACCTCGATAACTCGAAGTCATGAGAACGCAGCAATACATATAGTAGTTCGAGACCCAGTTGCCCATAAGAATTGTGCAGGAGCGTGCAATTACTGCGTCTTTGACGATGTATTGAGTTTATGGAGTTCGATTTAACGAGCTTTCATAGTACATAGTTCTTATAAAACAGACAAGGTATATTTCTTCAGAGTTGTTTATTTTTATTAAATAAAAATCTACCCCTGCTCTTCGTATCGATCCGTATAACAGATTGGTGTCATTAGCCGCGGAAATAGGGAATATAATATCCCTGTTATGCTCCACTTATACTTAGGATGCGTCTAAAGCAATGAGAGTACAGCCTAAACATTATGTTTCTTATTGTCAGGTACCCGATCATTACAACAACTGCACACATAAGTCAAGTCCAACAAAGGTATACATTCTTTGATTTTAAATGGGAGGAAAGTATGGATATGGTGCTGACGAACAACTAAAATACAATCGGGCAAATCTAGGATTCGAACCAGCGATCTGAAGTTTCAGGATGCCTAATGGACTCTGAGGAGTTGCACAAGGAACTGCGGCGCTTTAGATGACTGGATCACTTGTGTTCCCTAGTTAACAGATAAGGTGGGAACAAGAGAGACAGTTCTCAAAATTTTAATATATTTCCACATTTGTGTTTCTTTTACACTTACTTTTTTTGCAAATAGTGTGAGTGCCTGTTGCTTCCGGAAGAGCAGGACATGCTTACACTTTTCGCGAACACCTGGTGTTGTCACTGATCTTCAGTGATCCATTTATATAATTTTACGCCCAATGGAATCTGGTTCGGCAGATAAAGGAGACAGATTATCCCTTGATATACTTCAAGGAGTAAAACTAGGGATATCGGTGTCTTCAATGGATTTTAATAATTTAGACAGAGGTGTTTCTCCATGATGAGAGGTTCAATGTGATGTACATATTGATGACGTTAAAAGATTAATAAGCTGATTGATTGATTCAGTGATTGACACTGTCAGGTTGCATGTTACACGGCTGCACGACAACTTACTGTTTGTGGTGCCCCGGGGTACATGCGTCAACCATCGCCATGACACTTCAGACTGCCTATATATATATCCTGTATAATTGTGTTTATTGCTTTTGGTACTGTCGGGATATACGTACTGAACACTAAATTCAGGTTCTTGTTAATAGATGCACTGATCACGAGGTGCCAACCATTTGATGTTCGGCGTTTTGGGAGGGCTTGTGGTGGTTATGGTCGATTTGCGGGGGGTAGAGAGTCGCTCTGGGATGGTCGTTCCCCTTACTCCTTTGCTTTTCTTTTTTAAGTGTACAGGTGTTTTAAATGAGTTTACTATTGTTCCATTTCTAAACAAGTTTTAACAGTGACAAAAGAATTTAATCAATGTTTTATGTATCATATTATTTAGAAGCACATAACCCAAACCTCTATTTATTAAATATACCGGTGTTTGATTGTTCTGAAAATGGATCCCTCAGGTTTCTAAAATTCTTCAAATTCAATTTTTTTGTGTGTATTTTACACAAGTCTGTTTATTTCATTCTCTGTGAGGTGTGCGGAAGTTTTAAATAATAAGTGTTTGTGGTTTAGTTGACCTGCGATTTTCATTTGCATCGATTCCATCATATTGATATGGATATATAAATATATAGCATATCTTCATGTAGAGTGAGTGAGTGAGTGAGGCTAACAACGCAATAGACAGTGTTTCAGTCAGGCTTGATAAGTGGAAGGTTGAAAGTGTACTGCCCCCTATCCCCGTCCCCCCTTAATATGTGCGCTTAATCCAACCATTTCTAAATGCACACGTCACGGGCTCTAGCAGATTCATCGGTACCAGAAGTGCGTAGGTGTCTGAACCGCATGTCTTGTCTTTCCATATCTCTCGCGTCAAGGATGACTAGTAATGTATGTTTCCTGCATGTTCATTCATACAGATTTAGTATTTTGTGATTGCTGACAATAAATACTCCTTTTTTTTAAATGATATTGTTCAAAACATAAAATGTCAATGCAAGAGAGTAATCACTTCTTGATTATCCGCCGAAAACACATCATGGGATTTTTTAAATATAAAACGTAAATAATCTGTCTCGACTACCTGCCGAACCAGAATCCATTTGACATAAGGGGCAAAAAAGCTGTGAAAATTATATGAATGGAACACTGAAAATCAGTGATGACGCCAGGTATTTGCGAATAGGGTGAGCATATCCAGCTCTATCAGAAGCACCCTCCATTCACACAATTAAGTCGGTACTGTATTTATTGCCTGACGCAATTCAGAAGTACTCCTGCCATGTGACGGTGGTCTGTAAACAAACCAATCAATTGATGGTTGGACCAGAAAAACCAGTGACACGATGGTTCATTTACTGACTTTGTTGAAACAAATAAAAAACTATATGTTAATTTTGAATTACGTCTTTGAAATCGCGTACCGTATAATATAGTTTTTTATACAATGCCCTGAATAAGGAGGCGTTACATGTTTATGAAAAGGGAAGTTTGATTATTGATTATATAGCACTTTAGTTCCTTCACCCAATCAAGATCGTTATCAACTGCAGGGTGATTGATGTATTGCACTGTACGTCCTAAGGGCACGTCTTGGGTGTATTTTTACACCTTAGGCGTCACCAAGGTGTGGACATTCTTTAAAAACTTTTATGTTTTAAGTTTGTTGTTAGCGATTTATTTAGATCGAATACGCTTTTGTGTAATTTTGTAAACGTAATTTGAAGAATTATAATACATATAACAACAACAAAAGCAACAAAAACATACATGTAGCACTCCCCACACCACCTCATTTTTAATTGTCTTACCACTATTTCCGGTTCTTAAGCAAATTCCATTTGAAGCGACAAGTTCAGATACATTTTTCTGATCTTTAAAAACTTTATATTTAAACGATCCGTGACATACTACGGAAATAATTCACGCCACGCATTGACGTACTGATTCTGAAAAAAACAAATCACGTCATCGTATGGCCACTGAGATAAACATGGGTAAGTTCGTACATAAAAAATGACGTTATTTATTACGAAAGAAATACAGTAATCCCCAAGCGCCTCAGGTTAATGGTAAACAACTTTTTTTTAAACAGAGTAATGAAGCAGGTGGTATTTAAGGAAGCTAAAGGTGATTGCAATCTTCATCAAGAACTGATAAAAGATAAACCCATTTTTAGGAGTGTGGAATCATGGACAAGCTCCAAAATACAGTAATTGCATTTTTTTTCAAAAACGTATCTCCGCGATGTGGACAGCTGTGTCGCTATTATTCCGAGAGCATCTGACCTAGATATTTCTCAGTCAGATGTTGATATTTATTTGTATTTACTAGTATTTGATACTTTGTTTGTACTTTATGCTTTTTTATTTGTTCATACCATGATTGACATTAATATGCTCTTTACGTTGGTTATTGTTTTAGATTTAGATTTTGTCGGTCTTCATTTTTTTATGCTGGTCCGTTAACGCTTGGGTTTTAGTAATTATTTTGCAGGGGTTCATTCTTGCTTTGATTTGGGTTTTACGCCGAATTGAAAAGCGTTCCAGTTATATCACTGCGTGTCCGCTTAATGTGGGAGGGAAGCCCGTAGTGACGCAGGTCTTAGACGTTTACCACTTCGGTGGCACCCACAAGCATGGGTATGGTCCTGACAAACATTGAAACCGAATTGGGGCGAACCGGGATTCGAACCCACAATCATAGGTTTCTGGCGTGTCCAAGGGACGCAACTCTGCACAGCGAATTGCGGCGCCTTATACGACTGAACCACCTGTGCCCCCAATCTATCATTAACGTTGTTATATGAACGTGTATCATCCAAGATCAAAGGTTTCTGGCGTTCCCATTGTCTTAGATGAAACCATATTGATTTTCCTCTGGAATGTTCAGAAAAAAACTTATACATTTCGATGACTAAAGACGTGACTCAATGGTTTCTATATGTTTTCAAACAAAAGTAGTTACGTTTCTAAAACCACACCTAACATATTCGTCTATGGTCACCATTTAATGCATCAAACAAACGTCGTATGCAAATCATAACAGTAGTTTTACTGACCTTTGCATTATGACCAGGAGCAAGTATCCGGTCGCATTACACCCAAAACCAGAATTACCATAATTTATTCATAAGGAAGAGAATGTATGGATGTTAACTACTTTGTTATGAGGAACACAACGTTTCGGAATATATGATTACTCCTTCATCGGGTGAATGCTCAGGTTGTGATTCCAAAATGAAAAAGAAACCCGAAATAAACACTGCTATTTGTTTTTCTATGTTTGTTGTTTAACACCGCACTCGAAAATATTCCAGTTGTATGACTGCAGCCGGACAAACAAGTGATTGATGTTTTGAACAGCGATTCACGCCCTAGAGGCACGATGACACGCAATCAGCCAAGTCATCGAGATGGAACAACCGATCCTTAAGTCGCCTCTTCCAACCAACATAGGTTGCTGGGACATAATCTAACCCGGAATCCCCCCACCCCAACTCCCCAACCCCGGATCAATAGGGCTACTGACACGGATGACAGTAGGAAAATATAACATTAAGCCAAAGGTAACACCTTTGTCTTAAACAGAAAACAGAACTCACACACATTCATATATTGGTTTCTTTTATTTGATAATATGGAAATGTACAAAGCAAAGTTTCCACCTGAATATGGTGGTGAAAATGTATATACATTTTGGATAACGGATGATCCTGGAATATATGGTTCTAAAAGAACAAATATTATCAAAAAATATTTTGAAAAGTAAAACAAGTGATGAAAGATTGGATAATGATATGTACAGCACCGTTAAACAATTAAAGTTACCTTTATGTACATAACTACAGTTGAACCTCGTTAGTCCGGATTCTTTTAATCTGCAAACCCCGGACGATTAAAACTTTATACACATACAGATGTACAGAGGGTCACACGTACAGCTGATTGGCTTATCCGGACATTCATTAATGGGTTCACCTAAGAATGATATACCTTCAATAGGGCTTTCTGATGTGACGATACACAAGACCATACTTGGCTGCCTGCCAACAGTGTTTGACAGCATTGGCCAACAGCTGGTTTTTAAGTCTGTATGATGTTATTCGTGGTGAAAGAACGTCTTGTTTTGCGATCATCGACAAGGTCAGACTCCAGTTCCTGTCTATAGTCCACTGGAGCGGTGGGGTAGCCTGGTAGTTAAAGCGTTAGCTTGTCACACCAAGAACCGGGTTCGATATGTGAAGCCCATTTCTGGTGCCCTGGCCGTGATATTGCGGGAATGTGGCTACAAGCGGCGTCAAGCCATAATAACTCACTATAGTCCGGTAAGATGTGTCCAGATGCCTCGAAGGTGGACCCGTGAATATTCGGGCAGAGAATAGGTCTTCAGCAACCCATGCTTGCCGTTAAAGGCGACTGTGCTTGTCGTAAAAGGCGATAAACGGGATCGGGTGCTCAGGCTAGCTGACTTGCTTGATGTACGCCATCGTATCCCAATTGCGTAGATCGATGCTCATGATGTCAATCCCTGGATTGTCTGATCCAGACTCGATTATTTACATACCGCCGTCATATAACTGGAATATTGCTGAGCGCGGCGTTAGACAACAAACAAGCAAAGTCTCGATGGTGGAACAGGGCATCATGGTAGGATGGCGTCTTGATTGTCATAACCGAGTTTGCAGCAGAGGTGAAAGGTGCCAATGCAACTGGCCCTTCCGCTAGAATCTGAGGCTGTGCCGCTACATAGCTGAAACACAGACAATTCCCATGAAAGTCAACTAGTGATGATAATAATACTGTGTGTACTTATATTGTACTGGTCTCCACACGCAAGGTTCATGCTCGGCGCTAACATTATTACCCCCGTCAATGGACCAGTGTGTACTCAGTGTGTATTCTCAGCTCCCTGGGGAATATACAAAGAAAACTATTGGCTTATTCTTCGAATCGGAAGCCATAGTGCGCAGGACGGACTTAGTTTTATTGTCCTCTGGCGCTACACAATTCATCACCCCGGTCAATGGATCAGTGTACACTCAAATTACATTCTCAGCTCCTTGGGTAGTACACAACCCAAACTGCCTTGCATTAAGATAACCGTCTAATCCAACAGAGTATCCTTCAAAGGTACATTTGGAACAAGCACTTTGCCTACACGATTTATGGGTATATTCATTAAACGCGTTCCGGATTACCCCATTGCGGCAGAAAATCAACAATTAAATGATGAACATTAGGCACATATTTCAGACTATAATTCCTTGATCATCATTTCTGAGTGGGATTGTTATCAGCTGTCTGAACAGCCCTTGCGCATATCAGACAAATATCATTACATGGGCGCGTGTGTCATAGTGGTTTCAAGGAACATATACATTTTCACTACGCGGTCGATATAACTTCTTAATTATCCCTACTGTATTATTACCTGTAGTAAGAATGTATTATTTACTACATAGAGAAATGTGTCACACGATGTCAACAATGATACACAATAACACCGTCAGTTAAAGACGTAATTTCAAATACCGTCAACAATAGTATTTATAAGACGTCTACATAACGTTAATAATTGCAAGGTGAGCTAACACGTGATACATGTGTTCTACGAAAGGACACTTTGGTGTACCTTGGACCATTGGGATAAAAAAAGATAATTTCATATACTATGAAACCTCGTTAATCCGGATACATTGATCCCAGTAATTCGTCCGGATTAACGAACGATTGTCGTTTGTAGTTGAAGATGCTAAAAAAAACGCCCGAGGTCCAGATTAACGAGGTTTCACTGTAAAGATGTGGAAATACCACTTACCACGATTCCTCTCCCTGAATATTGCTGCAGACTCAACAACGGCAGGTTAGGTGTCGGTATAGTAATTGAAGATTCCACACCACGTCTCACACGTATTGAAGACAACACTCCCAGGCTGAAGACCCTGGTGCCTCCCCATGCGCTGTTTGTAGTAGTTCTGTAGAGAGAACAAGGAAGTCACACAGCGGGCGTCATAAGAATATGAATAAATTTGGAGACTTATGTATTTACTGTCCTATTCTTTCTACCTAATAAATAATATTCAACTTCTGTCGCTTCTTTATTCACATTGCATGCTAGAAACGCACAGTCACAGAAAAAGTTAATCTTGAAAGGCGTTTAAGAACAGAAGAGTCGTATGGCGCTCTTTCAAATCTTCGCATAAAGCGCATACTCGTTTGCACCGACAAAGTTGTGAACTGTAGACACCAAAGCTTTTGGCTGCTGGAATATTGCACTTTAAAATCTTTAAGCATAGGTCTAAAAATGAAACAGATGAGGCGCTTTCACTGGTCGCTTTTGTTTCTAATTCAGGTAAGTAAATTGGCTATTTGACCATTTTTGAACGGTATCAGATCATTGATATACCTGAAGCTTAACTTAAACTTCTTGACCAAATTATCACACTTTGTTTTTGCCAATCCGAGCAGAAAATCCGATGCATATGCATTAAGAAACAGATTAACATGTGTGGGGTGCATAATTAGTGCCAATAGGGATGCCTTATCCTTGCCCAAATTTCACATAGAAGTTACATGAGGTCAAGGATTTCACATATTGTCCTGTATTCACTGACACAACAGTTTCTAAATGACCAGTGCAGATAAATAACATCATTTTACATATCCAAACTGATTATTTGGGTTAGATTCTGATCGAGAGTTTACACTTTACATGTGAATGATTATGATTTTACGCCGCTTTTAGCAATGGTCCCGCAATATCACGGCGGAGACCCCAGAAATGAGCTCCACACGTTGTACCAAACGGGGAATCGAACCGGGACAGCTATCCCCACCGCTCCACTATATTTGTGACAGAACGTGCTGAGGACATGGTGTCGGTGAGGTTTGTTTTATATTTTTTTATATTAACTCTGTTTTGACACACTACCAAAGTAACAAGTGGTTATTTAAATGTTGGCACAGTGGCAATATTTCTCTCATATTAATATTCTTTTTACCTGTATTCAATATGTTGACATTCACTGACTAAACTGACCGTGAGAGAATCTCGCCCATGGTAGTTAAAGAGCACCCTGCTTCCGCCCGGGCTCGCCGTGTCAGGAGCACCGTAAACGTTCCAGACAGCGTCGTTGACGTCACGTTGACGACACCTTGTATTGGGTTAAACGTCTGTCCTCTCTAAGGACCAAAAGTCATAGAAACAAAATCATCTCTATTTGTCAAGCATGGCAGTTAAGTTTAAATTTTGGCATAGATAAATAAACATGTGCATGTACGGTGATAGTACATCATTTTGTTTTGTATTCTGCGAGTATGGTTTCACTCAGCTTTCTTCATTTTTGTCAGCAATATCATGACAGGGAACATTGAAATGGGTTTCAGGGTGACAAAAACTATCCACAAGTATGTATGACAAGAGGGATGACTTCAACTTTCCAATAGTCGTCGACTTTCCCTTTATGTTGAGCAATTCTGCAGGAGCTCCAGCCTTTGGTGTTGACATTTCACAATCTTTGAGGTACAGTCTATCACATGCTCTTTCTACGAAGACATCAAAGAGCGTCGTGCGATTCCTGCTCAAAAGTTATTTGATCAGGGTAAGAATATGCAAGGCCTTAGTGAAGTTTTCAAGACTTTTTATAATAGACAAGAGGAGGGCATTTCCATGTTTGATGCATCATTGACCAAAATGTCCGCTGCAATTCCCAATTGTTGCCGTGTATCATATGTTCCTATTTCAAGTGAACAATTGACTTAGCCTTTGTATGTGTTTATGACGTACGTCACCTGTGGGACACTATACGCTCATCGTTTCGCGAAAGTTCTTATATTATCGTAATCATATAGTAGAGATTTCTTATGATTGTGGAGGAGGGTTTCATCGTTTTGATTTTTCACACCTTGTACACGGGCCTTCGACGATACAAGCGAACGCGTCAACCACCTATTCTATCACTACGTCTATATTTTGTATGAACGTGAGAAATGAGTTAACAGTTTACCTGGCTGCTATTATCCGTCCATGATAGAGTAACTGCTAAAGAGCCTGTATTGTCTCTGGCACTACAGGTGAGAGTCTCGCCTTCAATGAAAGAATGTCATCATAACAACAATACATTATGTTTGGACATACGTCATAGATAATGCGTTTGCTATTTGAATTCAAGTTTAGTTTACATGAATAATGCATGTATATTAGTGTTATGACGTTAAACGAACAAAAAGTGAGTATGGTTTGAGCAGCTATTGGCAATATTGCAACCATTACACACTCGTGACTCCATAAATAAGCTTCAAACATTGTACCCATGTAAGGAATTCGCTCAGGCCTTCGTTTTGACGTACGAACACTTTGACAACCACACCACCCCATATTCACCAGTGAACAAAGTAGCCAAATGTTTCTAAACGGTCATAAATGTGTAAGTACAAGTTTATGGGGTATATTCAATTGTAATAAAACTTACCTTCTGAAATGTCAATACCATTACTATTAGAAGCAGACCTACTGCTTCCTATGCTGGGTGTTCCTGGTATCGCGAGAGACGCCATTCCTGGTTGCCATCCAAAACCTTGAAAAAACCCTGTATCGAATCTATTCTGGGCAGAATTTGGCATGAAAGGCATGTTGGGAAACGGAACCATACTACCCGATGGTGGTGCAAATGGATTATTAGATCGAGAGTTCAGATTCGTTTGAAATGGATTTTGTCGAAAATTTGATGTTGACTGAAAGGAATTCATCTGGGAATTCGGTGAGTTTGACAGGAAGGGAGAAGTTGGAGAAAATGGACCTCTTTGGTTTGGAGATGAGCCCCATGCATTGGGGTTGCTTGGCATTGGTCCGTTAGGACCAAAGGAACTGGGTCCAAAAGGCTGACCGTTTGGTGCATTACGACCATTCATTCCAAAAGGTCCCGAGTTGATCCAGTTAGTCCCTGGGTTAGATCTGAAGTTATTACTCCCAAATGGACCTGAACTACCAAAGGGACTTGTTCCAAGACTGCCTCCACCGAACAGACTTGGACCAAAGCTACCGCCTCCAAACATGCTTGGTCCTCCGTTGCTTCCACCTAATCCTCCTTGGCTTCCAATTTGACTGTTCCATTGTCCCTGTGGCTGCTGTCCACTCCAGCCTTGACACTGTGCACCGGACACAAATACTGCTAAGCAGAACAATGCAGTGCGAATCATCATCATGGTGTACCGCTTGTTTTGTTTTTCAGTCGTATAGCTGTCGAAGGTCACATTTTGTGATGACGGTTTAATACTAAAAAAAACCGTCAACGGTATATGTCGTCTTGTAGCTGATTTCCCATCCAGTGGTGTATGTTCTATTCCTATAAAAGTTTCCAAACATCTATCCATAAATATTTACAATGACTCAAGACAACTTTGATGGATTCACTTGTCAATATTTTATGTTGATCGACACCTGACCCGCTCAAGGTCAGGTGCTGTCGGTATGTCACCTGTCAGAATCACTTCCTATTTATTAAGAAAATCATTGATGTTGCAACAAACACCAAGTCACAAATCGATGTACAACATTCAGGACTTTGCTATAACATGCTAGTACATATCCCATGCCGTAGGGTCAAGTCGTCTCAGGCGGCACAATACATCTTGTAGCGTTGCGTTCATTTAGCATTCCAGGATCATATATTCACGCTGATTATGATCCACTCCTCGGTGCTGTATGGAGTCCATGTCATCACTGTATGGCGTTCAGTACATCATTGCATGGCGTTCAGTATGGCATTCAGTACATCACTGTAAGGCTTTCAGTACATCGCTGTATGGCGTTCAGTACATCGCTGTAAGGCGTTCAGTATGGCGTTCAGTACATCACTGTAAGGTGTTCAGAATGGCGTTCAGTATATCACTGTATGGCGTTCAGTATATCACTGTATGGCGTTCGGTACATCACTGTAAGGCGTTCAGTATGGCGTTCAGTATATCACTGTATGGCGTTCGGTACATCACTGTGAAGCGTTCAGTATGGCGTTCAGTACATCACTGTATGACGTTCAGTATGGCGTTCGGTATATCACTGTATGGCGTTCGGTACATCACTGTAAAGCGTTCAGTACATTACTGTATGGCGTTCAGTTTGGCGTTCAGTACATCACTGTATGGCATTCAGTACATCACTGTAAGGCTTTCAGTACATCGCTGTATGGCGTTCAGTACATCGCTGTAATGTGTTCGGTATGGCGTTCAGTACATCACTGTAGGGCATTCAGTACATCACTGTAAGGCGTTCAGTACATCACTGTAGGGCATTCAGTACATCACTGTAAGGCTTTCAGTACATCGCTGTATGGCGTTCAGTACATCGCTGTAATGTGTTCGGTATGGCGTTCAGTACATCACTGTAGGGCATTCAGTACATCACTGTAAGGCGTTCAGTATATCACTGTATGGCGTTCGGTACATCACTGTAAGGCGTTCAGTATGGCGTTCAGTATATCACTGTATGGCGTTCGGTACATCACTGTGAAGCGTTCAGTATGGCGTTCAGTACATCACTGTATGACGTTCAGTATGGCGTTCAGTATATCACTCTATGACGTTCGGTACATCACTGTAAGGCGTTCAGTATGGCGTTCAGTATATCACTGTATGGCGTTCGGTACATCACTGTGAAGCGTTCAGTATGGCGTTCAGTACATCACTGTATGACGTTCAGTATGGCGTTCGGTATATCACTGTATGGCGTTCGGTACTTCACTGTAAAGCATTCAGTACATCACTGTATGGCGTTCAGTTTGGCGTTCTATATATCACTGTATGGCGTTTAGTACATCACTGTAAGGCGTTCAGTACATCACTGTATGGCGTTCAGTTTGGCGTTCAGTATATCACTGTATGGCGTTTAGTACATCACTGTAAGGCGTTCAGTATGGCGTTCCGTATGTCACTGTAAGGCGTGTAGAACATCACTGTATGGCGTTCGGTACATCACTGTAAGGCTTTCAGTACATCGCTGTATGGCGTTCAGTACATCGCTGTAATGTGTTCGGTATGGCGTTCAGTACATCACTGTAAGGCATTCAGTACATCACTGTAAGGCGTTCAGTACATCACTGTAGGGCATTCAGTACATCACTGTAAGGCTTTCAGTACATCGCTGTATGGCGTTCAGTACATCGCTGTAATGTGTTCGGTATGGCGTTCAGTACATCACTGTAGGGCATTCAGTACATCACTGTAAGGCGTTCAGTACATCACTGTAGGGCATTCAGTACATCACTGTAGGGCATTCAGTACATCACTGTAAGGCTTTTTAGTACATCGCTGTATGGCGTTCAGTACATCGCTGTAAGGCATTCAGTATGGCGTTCAGTACATTACTGTATGGCGTTCGGTACATCACTGTAAGGCGTTCAGTATGGCGTTCAGTACATCACTGTAAGGTGTTCAGAATGGCGTAAAGTATATCACTGTATGGCGTTCAGTATATCACTGTATGGCGTTCGGTACATCACTGTAAGGCGTTCAGTATGGCGTTCAGTATATCACTGTATGGCGTTTGGTACATCACTGTGAAGTGTTCAGTATGGCGTTCAGTACATCACTGTATGACGTTCAGTATGGCGTTCGGTATATCACTGTATGGCGTTCGGTACATCACTGTAAAGCATTCAGTACATCACTGTATGGCGTTCAGTTTGGCGTTCAGTATATCACTGTATGGCGTTTAGTACATCACTGTAAGGCGTTCAGTATGGCGTTCTGTATGTCACTGTAAGGCGTGTAGAACATCACTGTAAGGCGTTCAGGACATCACTGTAAGGCTTTCAGTACATCGCTGTATGGCGTTCAGTACATCGCTGTAATGTGTTCGGTATGGCGTTCAGTACATCACTGTAAGGCATTCAGTACATCACTGTAAGGCGTTCAGTACATCACTGTAGGGCATTCAGTACATCACTGTAAGGCTTTCAGTACATCGCTGTATGGCGTTCAGTACATCGCTGTAAGGCATTCAGTATGGCGTTCAGTATATCACTGTATGGCGTTCGGTACATCACTGTAAGGCGTTCAGTATGGCGTTCAGTACATCACTGTATGGCGTTCGGTACATCGCTGTAAGGCGTTCAGTATGGCGTTCAGTATATCACTGTATGGCGTTCGGTACATCACTGTAAGGCGTTCAGTATGGCGTTCAGTATATCACTGTATGGCGTTCGGTACATCGCTGTAAGGCGTTCAGTATGGCGTTCAGTATATCACTGTATGGTGTTCGGTACATCGCTGTAAGGCGTTCAGTATGGCGTTCGGTACATCACTGTAAGGCGTTCAGTATATCACTGTATGGCGTTCAGTACATCGCTGTAAGGCGTTCAGTGTGGCGTTCAGTTTGGCGTTCGGTATATCACTGTATGGCGTTCGGTACATCACTGTAAGGCATTCAGTACATCACTGTATGGCGTTCAGTTTGGTGTTCAGTACATCGCTGTGTGGCGTTCAGTACATCACATTGTCTTTAGCCACTTTCCTAAGGTGAGTGAGTGAGTTTAACGCGCTTTTAACAGTATTCCAGTTGTATCACGGCGCGTCAGCTTAATATGGGAGGAAAGCCCGAAGTGATGCAGGTCTCAGATGTTTACCACATCCATGAAACCCATGACAAACCAAGAAACATAATCGGGGCCAACCGGGATTCGAACCCACAATCATAGGTTTCTGGCGTGCCCAAGGGACGCAACTCTGCACAGCGAATCCCGGCGCCTTACACGACTTGGCCACCCGTGCCCCCTTTCCTAAGGACCTCAAGACAGCAAGGGTAAGTACGACTCAACTTGGGATAACTGTGATCAAGATCTTTTATTTCATTATTCTCCATAAACAAGGGATCATCTGAAAAATCTACAAATCAATCTTGAAAGATATAAGTACTATTTGTAACATCTGAACACTGATGAGTGATGGAGAAAGATACATGCTCGGTCATGATTCTGGAATGCCTAAGGGGCGCAACTCTGCAATTCTGCTCAGACGATTGAGCCTCTCGTGAATAATAATATTTATTTTAAAAATGAATTTACATGCACGTTAACAACTCAAGCAATCATGTATGACATTTGAGATTTCACTTTGTCCACTTGTAAAACTGTAAAAAAATTACTTTGCTTCATCTTGGTAAGTTTAAAACATGTTCTTATTAAAACAATTATACAGCTATATCGTTGACGCATTGATGCGTTTGTACGTTACTAGACAAAACAGAATTTCCCAATATTAGATTGATATATATAATCAATATAATGGAATCTACACAAATGGGTAGCATTCGCCTATCTGGACAACAACACAAGCTAATTATGTGTGAAAAATAATTTATTTTAAATATTTCTGATAATTATCTTTAAACATATGACAATAAATAATGACAGTGAACTTGAAACATTTGACAGCTGGTACGAATACAGAGTCATGTATGCAGAGTAAGAGTTAATTCATGTATATACTACTCAACTTCTGATAGGGTTAATGAGCTATGTCGTTCTATTTCAATATAAACTTGACATATTATGAGAATCACTTTTGTGTATCACGGACAGATAAATATATCCCTATCAAAAGTAGAGTAGTTTATCAAAACGATAATATTAGTGTGTATATGTATAGAAACAGGTGTACAAGTTCCAAACATAAAATTACATCTGTCCTGTATGTTAGGGTTAGGGGTGTTTGAACCTTGCTGACGTTCAAGAAGCATATTTTGCTATTTGACATAATAATTCAAACAATATCTTAAAAAACTTAAGGCTTTAGGATATGACGAATATTGAGCTATACAAGTAAAGGGAAGGACTTATACTTATGTCCGATTTGATTATTAAATCGCATGCTGAAGAGAACCAATGCGATTTTCTATGAAGAAAATTGAAGTAATATCATTTCATTCGGATCCAATCGTCTCATTCCGCAGTGGAGTCGTGTATACTACTCAAATTTTGATAGGCAGCGTATATACTACTCAACTTTTGATAGGCAGCGTATATACTACTCAACTTTTTGATAGGCAGCGTATATACTACTCAACTTTTTTATAGGCAGCATATATACTACTCAACTTTTGATAGGGATATATTTTATCTTTCCATGATATATATATAATGAGATATCTCACTATCCCTTTCGAAGATTGAGTAGTATACAGTTCGCATAATTTGAAACTGCTTCTTGAGACAGTTAGGCATACAATTTGATTGGAAGACAAAATCAAAAGGAAACGATTTGAACAATCATATTTAGGTTCATGACTACCGCAGATTGCGTTGTGTCATGTGACAGTCTCGTGCACGATACTACTTCCAATATGAATTCCTGTCAGTGCTGGCCGATGGGTATTGGTCTGTTACGGTCCGAGTGAATATCGTTTGAGAAGAGTAAGTTTAAGGAGTAACTGCATCCATGTCGTCGAATCCCAGCTTGCAACAGGCGGGGATGGGATCGGAACAGACTTGTCTGCCATCAACACCAGTTGTCAAAGTTGAACACAACTGAAATGCAAAGAAATTAGATGTAAACGACTTCTCATTATTCAAGTAACACCATGGCGGTGGACGCAAAGGAAGGTTTTCATACATTTCACCAGTGCGTGTCTTTGAAATATTTGTTTGCCAAATTGACAGTCATATTGTTTAAGATTGTGCATTCGTCCTCATTATATATACAAGTGACACGCCACTATTTGGATAAAGTACTACCGATGTGGCGTAAATTTCAACTCGCTTAACTAAACTAGTGAGTAAATATGTTTTTGGTCATAATCCAGTCATCTATTACACATTACATCATTGTGACGAATCGTACCCGTGTCTTGGGCGCGACGGGTCAAAGCTTTTACCACTTGGCTACCTAACTGCCTTTAGGAATCGACAAACAATGGTAAATGAGAAAGTTAATACGTACTTCATGTAACTACGAAACTTAAAGTTAAATTTAAAGTTGTATACTCCCCAGGGAGATGAGAATGAAATTAGACCACACATTGATTCAATGACTTGAGTAATAATAACGTAGCGCAATGAGCATTCACTTGGGGAGTGGAATAACGCATCATAAGTGGGCTTATAATACAGATACGAATATTATCCAATAACAGATTCACCTTTAATATATATCTATGAAGATCACCATGGAAAGAAACTGAATGAAACTGGTAAACACTATCAGGTAAATGTTTACTTTAACTTTATAAACATAAACTTAAAATCGGAGGTAAAACCTACCGCAAGACCACGTCCAGCGTAGAGGTCAAGGTCGTTGAATGGAAGGTTGGCAAGGTTGACGTTGTTCTGCTGGTTGGCCGAGAGGGTGACGGTAGCAAGGACGCCACGGTTGCTGGAACCGAAGCCCATACTCCACATACCCCATCTTGGGTTACTGGAACATATCATAGTATTAATTATTTCAGGGTAGTGTTTTATTGTTGTACAATGTTTCGCAAAAGACTGATATACCAATTTGCAAGTAATGAAGTTAAATAATTAAATTGTTCGCATTAGCTCAATCGTTAAAGGCGGAATAAAGTAACAAGGATAATGTAATGTCGACGATTCAAGGACTACGATGTTCCACTGCAGTCTTATCCGACATGACGTCTCATCCAACATCGTATTTTATACGAAGCTAATTACTAACAATACTAGATGATATAGGGTAGTCTCACCGGTATCAATACATCAATGTAAATAACAGGGACAAATCCATTCCCTTATTCATAAAAAAACTGTACGATTCCGATTGAATCATAAGCACGTATTTCTGAATAACTATGACATAGTAGATATAAAAGGTGAGCGTATCCTGCCTCGTCGGTCCACCCGTCACAAACACATGCAAATACAAGTCAATTGTTCACTTGAAAGAAAACACGTAAACTTATGATACAAATCAAAATAGTGAACTCCATCAGTCATCATTTTTGTCACTGATGCGTCAAATTACGATATTATAAGAATGTGTGCATTAAATAGTGAAGATGCTAGATGTGTGCAAAAAGGTGAGTGTATCGTGCCCCACGTCACAAACACACGTGAAGGCAAGTCAATTATTCACTTGAAAAAAAACACGTGAACACATGGCACATGCATAAATTGGACATTGCACCAGACATAATTTGCGGGTCAATGATCCTATTGAGCAAGAGTCATATTGGCGCAATCGAGGCACATGATGTGTCGATTCGTGTTAATGGGGTTTCACGAATGACTATAACAAACTGCAACTCTTACCTAGCAAGGACTGGACCAAGACCGTCAGAAGTACAACCAGCCTCTGTACGGGACCTCTCTGTCAGGACAACGCTGAATGTTCCTGTTCCTGTTGTGGAGCTGATAGTCATGGATCCTGACGGACTGCTTCTAACCCACTGGAGCGGAAGATCAAGACCATTCAGAACATTTGTTTTGCCGGCATTCTAGAGCATCTCTGGAAACTTCTTAAAAAGCTATAACGTATTGCGGATACATTGAAAGGTCGAAAACGAAGACAAGTTCAATTCTCCACCAGACATATACAGCATGTGATTAATCCTGTTTATTTATTTAAAGCATTAATTGTTTATTGTCAAGCAAGTCTATCTCTATATATAAGTACTATGTAGCTACCAGCTGACTCGTCTCGCATCAAAACACGGGGCTGTGTACTCGCGGGCAGATGACCACGGAGCTCGCTGATCACTGTGTCGGATTAACGAGACTGATTAATGAGTGATTTCGGTCATTCGTTGCAAATTAGGTGTGTCGGAGTCGGAGTGCGAGACTGTCGGATTAACGGGTCTAAATAGCACTGATTTAATCGGTTCCCATCATGAGTGTCGGATAAAGCCGATTGTCGGATTAACGAGACTTGACTGTATGTACAGTTCCCAGGTCCTGTTGTATAAGGAGTTCGTTACATACATGGCGGAAATGAAAAAAGTTGTATATATTCACAAAATTCTTTATGCTATCAAACTGTCGACGATAGTTTGCTAACCGGTGAGAGAAAGGTTTGAAAACTGGAGGGAGATAAATTTCTTAATAACTTATTAATAATGTGTATATAGACTTACAAATTGTGGCCCTGTCGTCTAAGACGCAGCAATTCGCTGTGCAGAACGTAGGCTCGAATCCCATATTCGCCTTGATTATGTTCTTAATTTGTCAGGCCTTAGATTTCACGAACGAATTAAACGTCTAAGACCTGCATTCAACATCAAGTCAACGACGTCAAAAGCGGCGTTAAACCCACACAACTACTCCGCATCTAATATTTAAAACTTACCCCCGATGCTGCTCTTCTCAGGGTGACTGATCCGGTGAAGCCTGTAGCGGTGAAGGCACAGGTAATTGTAGTATCTGAAACAAAAACAATTCCTCAAATACTGATGCCATGGTAACAGTTTATTTTTAATTACGGAAAATATGTTATGGTTTGTACACAAACTCCTTGATTCATCTCATTCCAATTAATGTACATAAATTTCATAACAGTCAAATCACGGATGGGAGAACTAACAATGAGCTTAACACATTGTACCTTGTGAGAATGGATGGGGTGACCGAAAGCTATAACCAATATGCTTCAAGTCCTCATTACATGTATATAATGAGAAAATGATTGACAGACATTTTTCATATAAATCACTATTGTAACATGAAAGTGAGTATTATCTCAAATATGATTCGTCAGAGAAGAGTGTCGATTGAGCACGATCGTTTAGGGACTTATCGCCGTGTACAGATAGATACATATGAAAACGGGTCGTTTTTCTTCGAAATCATCAAAATGAAGAAGATCAGACTTATCGGCGAATTTGATGAAATATTTGACTATAACTTTATGGTTATAAACATTGTTTATGTCATGTCACAAATTCCCATTTCTATAGTTCTATGGGTTTGTATTGTTCCGATTCTATCACTGTTGGGTCTACTTTGAAATATGTAGATGTATGTTGAACTTCACGGAACTACTCACTCAGGATTCTTTGCTGTGGGTTGAATCCCCATCCTAAACCAGCAGCTCCTCCTGTAAGCCCAGTTATTGGCAGACCGGCTCCGAAACCTGCGCCAGGGAACCCAAATCTACCTGCACCAAACCCAGCTGGACTACCGATTCCTGCAGCACTTGAACCAGACACAGGGCTCCATCCAGAGGAAGGCGAACTGGCCTGGCTAGATCCCCATCCACTTTGGCTGGATCCCCATCCGCTTTGGCTGGATCCCCATCCGCTTTGGCTAGATCCCCATCCGCTTTGGCTAGATCCCAATCCGCTTTGGCTAGATCCTAGTCCGCCGTTCCGCGAACTTGAACCGGCTCCTGAAGCCAATCCAACACTTGCACTTGAAGATCCAGATTGCATACCAACCATACCAGAACCCATGCCAAATGGAGAACCTCCTCCCATGCCCCCTATCACACTTCCTCCAAAGCCACCCATTGCACCCGCACGCATTGCACCTCCTCCCAAGCCGCCCATTGCACCTTCTCCGAAGCCACCCATTGCACCACCACGCATTGCACCACCACCCATTGCACCTCCCCCTAAACCACCCATTGCACCTCCCCCTAAGCCACCCATTGCACCTCTCCCTAAGCCACCCATTGCACCTCCCCCTAAGCCACCCATTGCACCTCCCCCTAAACCACCCATTGCACCTCCCCCTAAACCACCCATTGCACCTCCACCTAAGCCACCCATTGCACCTCCCCCTAAACCACCCATTGCACCTCCCCCTAAACCACCCATTGCACCTCCACCTAAGCCACCCATTGCACCTCCCCCTAAACCACCCATTGCACCTCCCCCTAAGCCACCCATTGCACCTCTCCCTAAGCCACCCATTGCACCTCCCCCTAAACCACCCATTGCACCTCCCCCTAAACCACCCATTGCACCTCCACCTAAACCACCCATTGCACCTCCCCCTAAACCACCCATTGCACCCCCGCCCATGCCACCAGTTGCACCGCCCCCAAAAACACCCATTGGACCGCCAATACCACCTCCCATGCTACCCAACTGACCAAAGGCCATCTTGGCCATCAAAGCTACCACTGTTACAATAGAGAGAGACATGCTGGTCGATAGTGAAATCAAATACACTCCAGGTCTCGGTGACCTTATGTTATATACCCAAACTCTGACGATTACGTAGTGTCAAAATCACTCATAACGCTAATCCCTTGTGCGTCATTTTCGTAACCATCCTTTATTACACAACATGGACGTTGGTCACTTCCTCATTCGCCAAGCCCACCAGCATGTACATACAGTGTATAATTTGTTTTTTGTTTGTTTTCATACACACCACGTTTTATTATTAGGCGTATATAATTATGAAACGTTTCATGTTTTACACCCACGAATTGTTTTACAGTGGCAATTTGTATGTAGTAAGTCTCACATCATGTCTCAATGTATGTTCATTGCTTTTGTTCTTGCTATTTATATAACGAACTCATGATAAGATTCAAATTAACCATTATCAAGTTGTCTTGTGTATTCAGCCAGAGTGAAAAGATAAAATATCTAAATTATGTGGGGCGGTGGGGTTACCTTGTGGTTAAAGCGTTCTCGGTTCCCCATATGTCAAAGCGTCCTGATATTGCTGGTATATTGCTAAAAGCGGCGTAAATCCATACTCACTCTCCCACTCACCAAATTATGTTTATTTGCTTTCTAGATACTATTTCTTTCATGCTTCTAGAGTTTTTTTCCCCAACTTTTTTTTGATAATTGAAAACGGCGTAAAACCATACTCACTCACTCACTGATAATTGAAAATCCACGAGTTACACAATCCCTTGCATACCCACGCGGTTAAAGGTAACTTGGATGGTAAGAATTTCTTTCAATGTTGAATGCGACAATTGTGAGGTGGATTGGATAGGGATTATGCACCAGAAAAGAAAAAGGGTGCTGCGGAGGAGATACTAATACCAAGACAACAAAAGGAAGATCCAAGAATCTGGAAATATATGACATACTGTCTTCTTTGAGAGGCATTTAGAAATTGGAGTACTAACGATATGTTTTAACACCATTATCAAGCAGGTCAGGGGCGACATTTTCACTTGCTTGATAACGGTGTTAGAATCTACACCGAAACGTCGCACCTGTAACATAGAAGTTGTTCATCTAAATAACTTATCGTTACTTATCCCATACTGTCTCGGGCAGACACTATACCGCAAAGGCCATTTTACTGCACGGTGTCATGAGACTTGCATACATAATTCTATTTTTAAGACTAAACTATATTGAACGCATGTTTATTTGCCAATAAAAAACACAAGGAAGACACTGAGAATTCGAAAATATAACCTACACAGCCTCGGGCAGAAATTACACGGTAAAGGACTTTTAGTGTACGTCGTTACGTAACTATACACAACAATAAAAGCCGACATATTGGAATTTATCCCATGGCAATTCGCCAACAGCAATATAACAGTAAGGAGGAACTAGCTAGTACCAGAAGTCAGGTCATTCACGCATTACTTATTTCATATGATATATCAAGATTTATCGTACAGATAATATATCAAACAAATTACATAGAGACAGTTGGGAGATAAACGTTATTTGTTTTCAGATTTGCGGTTGTTATTGAGAATTTGATGCACGGAAGTTACATCGATTGTATCGTTAAATAAATTGGTTGAGACGCGTGTTTCAAATGGATGTCAGATAATAAACAACATTATATATTTTATGTTACCGCGTAGGCATACGTAGTGAGCAGAAAAGAGCAGTTTGTTTGTTCAACGCCGTACCCAGAATATTTAGCTATAAGGTTGCGGATGGAGTGTGGATCAGATAATCCGATGAGCAACCATCGCTGTTGTTCGGGTACGATGACACACAGTACACCATGTTAGACGACTGTGCTGTTCTAACATCGCCTTAATGGCTATGTCATATAAAAACACACTCATTGTGACAAAGCATAATGAGGGTAAATTACATCAAACTTCATTTTAATCTGAAGGCATCCGTCGCAATAACTGTTCAAAGCGGCCACAAAACCACGTCAGTTCAGTCAGCTCAGTCAGTTGTCTTATAAAGATGCAGTGTAAATATGATGTCTTGTAAATGAAACATCTTGGCTTATATGCATAATTTGGCAATGGAGGTGACCACAAACAATGTGGTGTAGCCGGATGAATAAATCGTCAGCACGACACACCGAAAAACCAGGTTCGATTCTCACCATGGATGTGAAGTGTTAAGCTCATTTCCAGTGTTTTGGAACGTTGCTGTTTACCTTCATTTGCAATGCAGTCAGTGTTAAGTTTACAGGACAATTTGATAATAAAACTATCCATATAATTTTGGCTATTGTCATAATAGTTACAATTGCATAACTTGACACCATCACGTGGAATTATGATGAACCTCATGTAATGCATGCATAATTATTTTTCGATATATAGAACTATACAGAAAATTTCGTGTGACTGATAGAAGTATTTTATTTGCTTCTTTGTCTGGTTGTGAATCAATATTTTGGCAAATTCAATATTATATCTGTGAATTGTTTTCTGAGACATTGAGGTCTAACAAATAATGACGCGTTTTATATGATTTCACTAAGTTTACGACAATTAATCGAAAAAACCCTGCTAATTGCACGCTTCGTTACCGAATCATTTGCGTAGCAGGGTGAAGATATGACCTTATTCCTATAAGTAACAAACACAATGTAGGATACAACATTATATAAATGTACCCGAATCTAAAATTACCTATGATTCAAGTGATCAAAATTTAAATATTACAGTCAATTCCAACAAGTGTTGCTTGTTAACACATTGTCTCAGGTAAACAATCAATGCACACATGACATTAACGATCATCAAGTCAATGTCATTAAGCAATAAAGTAATTAAGGAAATAATGCAACAACGATTAAGTTCGAAATATGTGAATAGCATAATTGCATAACCTAATCTAACGCTGTAGCCGTAACTCTCTAATAGCCAGTCCTTAATTACATCAGGTACATGGGATAGGACTTCCGATTGGTCACCTCTTTTATTTCTGAGACATAATTAATTACCAGCTTATTATTCCTGTAGTGTATATAAACCCGGTCAGATAGATACCAGCATTATCTCAGGTTCTTCTCGAGTACAAATCTACCATGGCTTTCCTTTCAGTAGCTCTTCTATCTATTATAGCTCACCTGGCTTTAGGTCAAGGTTGGGGTCAGAGTAACTCAGGATTTAGTCAAGGTAATGCAGGACTTGGTTTGGGACAGGCAGGGGCTTCTTGGGGTCAAGCCGGACTTGGTCAAGGTAATGCAGGACTTGGTTTGGGACAGACAGGAGCATCTTTAGGTCAAGCTGGACTTGGACTTGGCTCTGCTGGGTTTAGATTTGGTGCCGGTGGACTTGGATTTGGTACCCATGGACTTGGGATTGGAAGAACAGGTTGGGGTCAAGCAGGGACAGGATGGGGCCAGAACATTATCAACCCTTATCTGAGTAAGTATTTACATATACTTTCATTTTCTTTACAGCCCCTGTGCAACCAGGGTAAGGTTAACCCTTTCTATAACCATCCTACGCCCAACCGCGTACACTGGACATGCTCGATGTTTTGAACACATTGTGCTGTTGAGTGTGCTGAAGCAGTGACCAAAACCACATTTCCGAGGCCACCGCCTCAGAAGAGTGAACGATTAATCTCAAAGAAGCTTATACACTTTTACTTATTTACTACTTAAACGACAACTTGTATGTGTATATTGCGTAACATAAAGTGCTAAACTGTGTTTACTTTCCCACCAGATACAACCATTACATGCACTGGAACAGCAACAGGTTTTGCTATGTCTCTTACCCTGAGGAGGATGCAGCCAACTTGGGGAGGATGGGGTGTAAGTAGTTTTATTTATTGACTGAATTGGTCTGGGGTTTGGGTTTGGGTTTCTTGAAAGACAATACTACATTAATATTACTCTCGTGAGTTGTGCGTTTTGAAACGAACATAGCTTTCTTATTGTAGATTGGTCAGTCTCGAAGTGGTCTGACTGGATCTGCCGTTCTGAGGACTACAACTGTGTCAGGAACTTACAACCTCGTTATCACTGAGAGATCTCGTGTGGAGGCTGGATGTACCGCTGATGGACTCGGTCCTGTCCTTGGAAGGTAAGGAAAGGGTTGCGGAAGTTAAAACATGACCTCCCCATTAAAATGTTCAAAGAATTTTCACAGTTAAAATGCATTTTTATCATGACTCAAATGAGCAATTGTCAAATGCATCTTAAATACCACACATTGTCTCTTCTACAGCAACGTGTGGGGCCAACAGTGGGGTCAAGGTCTTGGTCAACAGTGGGGTCAACCATGGGGGCAGCAGTGGGGACAAGGATGGGGTCAGTCATGGGGCACTGGAACGACCACCACCCCCGGAGTTGTCACCTCTGTCACCCTCACCACCAACCAGGAGACTGTCATTGACTTGGGCTCTGCCAACCTACCATTCAGACAGATCGAGAGATACGGAGGACGTGGGATGGCTGTAAGTAGTTTCTTTTAATCATAGACTCACGAGACTTGGTGGCTATAATGTCCATTCAAAATCAAACCTTCCAACGCCATTTCAGGGAGATAAGAATGATAGTGAAATACGATTTGAGGTGATTCACATAATTATTAATGCGTGACTCAGTATTTTTTAAAAAGAAATGATACCAGGTCAGATCCGTAACAGATAAACTGGCGTTCTTACGAAAACGCCCTAAATTCTATAAGACAAACAAATGACATTAGCTTACTTCTGTTACTTCTGACCCGAAGAAGGTGGCTTTTATTTACATTAAAATTCAAACCCACCGACAAGGTAAACGGGAAATGTTACAGAAATTCACAAAATTCTCAATGCGAGAATCAGTAATTTTATAAAACGAAGGACATCAGGTCAGGCCCATAAGAGATAAACATGCGTTCTTATGAAAACGCCGTTTACTCTCAAAGACAAACAAATGACGTTAGCTTACTGCTGTTTTCAGCTGTGCACATCCTTGACCACTGGCACTGATGGACGTCAAGTGTGTGTGGAGCCTATCCTGGCCTGTTGCAAGTTGGGATTCGACAACATGGATGCTGTCACACCAACACCCCCATAAACAGAATGAGTTATCTGGAAGCTGCATCCAGCGTGTCCATTGTGAAATGTTGAATGTAAACTGTGTGAATACTATTCTTATCTGTACTCACATTAATCAGTCTAGTCAGACAAATACAGAATTTCCACATTTTACATATCATGTGGAATAACACCTGTATTATCAGAAAATTAATCTATCCAGTGTCCCATTGTTAAATAACTTACTTCCTAACTGAATGCAATCCTTTTTGAATGTCTCATTGTCATCATCATTTGTCTTGTTCATCAACAACAATCATTATTTATTCCCGAACAACGGGACAGAGGGTGTTTGAATAAAGATGCCAACATATCTTTCATGTTTCTTGTCTTTGAACAGTATTTGTGTGAGTGTACGATTTTATACCTTGCCAGAACAAGATCATATGCATGCTGGCTTATAGAAATCGATAGGGGCACGGGTAGGCTAAATCACATGCAAGCATGTTGGCTCACAGCTTTGATAGAACCACGGGTATTCGAAATCACACACGTGCAGGTTGGCACATAGCTTTGATAGAGTTACGGGTGTTCCAAGTCAAATGCATGCATGCGAGATCAAGGCTTTGGTATGGGTGGCTCTGTTGGATACAAAGAGGACCATTTCCTGTAAAATCTGGTAGATTCTTCTGCACTCAATGAAACCTTATAGGTGAGCAGAGTAGTTATTACCGCCGGGACCTACGTCATATTGCGTTTCAGGTGCTGTTAATTGATAAGTTATAATCTACATATAATATATAATATATAATTTTTTGTATTTGTATAAATACAGTTACATCAACACTGAACTAAATCAACTTCCAGTATAACATACATTCACACACACACACACACACACACACTAACACACACACACACACACACACACACACACACGCACACGCACACAAACGCACGCACGCACGCATTCACGCACTCACACACACATAAATATATCTATATATCTATGTCATGTTGACCTATCTGTTATGGTTGAATCATCTGTACGATTTGGAATATGGAAATAGAAATATGTGTAACTTCAAAATGAATATGGATATAGGATCGTTGAATCAATCATTTGAATCGCTAATGTATCTGTTCAGACTTTAACAATCCCTACGCTGTTTGATCATGAATAATATTTTTCTAAGCATACGCGTCTTAATGTTGATTTCACATGTACGAGAGGTGGAACTATGATGGACTGACTGTGTTGATTGAGTTGTCCCTAATTATTTTGTGTATTTGTAAATATAATCCCATCCAAGGTCCACAAACTTCTGCCAACGATGCTGGAGTGCCCGGATGTGTGGCTTCCTCGTGGTGGTGTAAAAAGCCATCTTAATTTGCATAATGATTGCAAGACAGTTCTTTCTTCAAGTTTGGGAAGAGGTGGAAAACTGACCTTGAATGCCAAATCTGCTGAATACGGAGACTGTTCAATGAGTTCAAAGCCATAGTCATGCATTGCAACCATGGTGACAATAGCCTTGTGCAAGGTGCTTTATCCTGGTGCAAGAACACACCTTCAGTGAGTTTTCAACGACGTTTAGTCTTCATATTCTCAGTCAGTTGCCTAAGCAGTTCAGCATAATATTGGCCATGATAATGGCCTCACCTTTCGGGAGGTAGTCCTGTGTGGAATCCCAGAAAACCGAAATCTTCACATTGCCTCCTGATGGTTGGATTGTTAGTTGGTTGTTTAACGCCGCACTCAGCAATATTCCAGCTATATGACAGCCGTCTGTAAATAATCGAGTATGGACCAGACAAGCCAGTGATTAATATCATGAGCATCGATCCACGCAATTTGAATCGATGACATGCATCAACCGAGTCAGCGAGCCTAACCACCCGATCCCGTTGGTCGCCTCTTACGGTAAGCATAGTCGCCTTTCCCGGCAAGACCAATTCTGTCCCGGAACTTCACGGGTCCTCCGATGGAACAGACATTGCCTTCTTCGTCGGAGTATTTGATGTTTCCACAGCTTTGACTGTTCATATGACGCTTTGATAAGGTTAACACCATAAAAGGCCACAGTAAAGCTTCCAAAAGTTAATGGTAGGCATGTGAAGGTCATTTCCAAATTAAACGCATCAGTGACACAAATAATGTCCGATGCAAATCCCGATTGTGACTTGAATCATATGATCCCGTGATTTTTCAGGTCAACAAATGACTTGCATTTAAATCTGTTTGTGATGGGTGGCATCGGAACAATTTCGCGAACACATTGTATCATCAGAATTTAATAGTGATCCATTAACACATGTTCATGATACAGTCCGAATTGAACTCTGGCCTCTGCTCTTAGATGAGATTTCTTATGATAATGTAGCGGCCATAAAATTTCCGAGTCCCGTGATGGGATTCGAACCACGGACCTTCCGGTCCGAGGTCGGACGCCTTGTCCACATGACCAAAGAGGTTAACCCCGTCAGCAAGCTGACAAGGTAAGGATGTCATCTGTGGGATGACTCCACGTCCTGCTACAATAACATCAAAGGATTCTGTCGCTTTCATTTAGTTGTCTGGCTGATAGTCGTGAACCTAAGACAGATCCATAGTTACAAATCGCTAAACAAGATCAGCTGGGTCTGCATCACAACCACGAAAATTTCCACAAGAGAGAATGTTGTTTTGTTGTATATTTGGTTCAAATACATTCTGTAAGCACTGAACGTATTGTACCTCACACATGCAGACTGTTTCGGGTGTACTCAGAGCTTTATCTTTTTTTCTTTTTTTCAAAAACCAAACAAGTTATGGTTTATATGGTTCCTGAATCGCTCCTATTAATGAATTAATGAATATTTGTGATAACTCAGGAAGTGTTTGGTATGAATATTTTTACCCTTACCTGTTTGGACAAAGGCATACGAAATCGTCTTCCCCACACTGCCATGGCAATACAGGTTATCGAATACATTTTCACTTTGACAATCTGCCTGCACTGTTATGTATTTAAATGATTGCGAATCACCTCATATCGATCGAAGGTGCGAGGAAATAGGTCCACCTTGAACAGACAGTTATAGAAGGTTTTGTAAATTTGTCCTTGAAGTTGAACATTAAAGGAAGCCTTCGAGCGATACCCAAAGATCTGGAAGACCTAAAGTAGAAAACGTCACTATGGAATTCACTTTCTAAAAAATACACAGGTTTTAAAACTACCACTTAGGACTTATGTGTAGAACACCCTAGTGACGCTAATGATAGAACAATAATATAGGCATAGTTTGGGGATTAAGCAGCGCTAGAATGAATGTTCGATGACTACTTTTGAATACCTACAGTAACAGCATAAAACTGAAGACGGTAGGCACATAACACATACAAAGTAAAAGTAATATAATAAGTACATATTATGAATGTAATAAATAGCATTGAATCGTAATTAATACTTTTTTATCCAATGCTAAAGAAACTACTAGTATATGAGGTAAATCGACTAAACATGGTCATCAAAACAAGACGACGCTATTTGATGGTCTTGACTAAGATTAGAGAGGGGGTGCGGTCGCCCTAGTCTCCCGATGCATCGCAATTCGATGACAGAAGTTGCGTACCATGGGCGTGCCTGAAATCATATCTTTGTGTCTTTGTGACATCTAATCCCAGTAACCCCATGAATAACGGGATCGGGTGGTCAGGCTCGCTTATCTGATTGGTGCATGTCATCGATTCCCAAGTGCGTAGATCGATGCTTATGATGTCAATCACTGGCTTGTCTGATCCAGTCTCGATTGTTTACAGACCGCCGTTATATAGCTGGAATATTGTTGAGTCCGTTCACAACGTTCAAACAACAAGCAAATAACAACATCCACTTCAACCACTCTGGACTGGTCTTCCACGCCTCATTAATCGTATTTCGGTTCCTGTGAGAACACATTTCACAATTGTACAACAAACAGTGTTTTACTCCCTTAAAACATCATTGCTACACAAAACACACCACATCAAAGAAATTTTATCGGAACCCAAAGGTCTACTACGTGGGAATATCCGAATCTACTACCCAGCTTAGCGTCTAATGAGAATAATTACAACCAAATTGTCATCACATGCAGCTAATCACTCCGTTTTCACTACGCCTTCCACGCATCCTATTATCTCACCTTTGGATATTAATATTGTGTAAATATAACCAGAATAGATAGCTCGGTTGGTTCTCGGAATGTCGTCAGCTTAACGATATGATCCAGTAGACGAAGCGGATTATCTGCATTTGTGGACTCCGATACTGATGTAATAATTCACCTCATGATGGAGCAAGAATTAAAAATAAAGTTATTATACATAAAACGTTTTAGATGATGTCGGTTCACACTGAAGATTCTTGTTCATACGATTCAAAAGATTCTGTTTCAGATGTACAAAATCGATGTTTTAAGACACCAGGAATACGTACGTGAATTCCTAAGATAACTGAGCCTTTATTTGCTTCTCCGTTTTATCTTATTGCATCACTTTATTGCATAATCAATCTGTACACAAACAGATTTAATCACAAGCATGATATGAGCTGTACGTTGTAATAAGCTGTTGTCATAAGAAACACATGGAATTGAACTTTCCATGCAACGTTATGTAATAAATATGTATATTTGCAGACCAGTTTTTCAAATTTGATATACTATCATATTTTACCGTATTGTGTATCTATAGACCTACGGGCCGGGTGTTGTATTTCCCCTATAGTTTTCTGCGTATATTGTAATACAACATGTGACACAATAATAAAACATTTTTCTCCTTATGCTGCAAAATCGTTATATTCATCTTCTTATCTACTAAATTATCGGCTGACGGTTCAAGATTTTTAATATTCAAGATGTCTTTTGTAAAATGTTCTTAGGAATTGTATAACAGAAATGAGCCCTGAGAATCACTTCATGTTCAGATTGAAACTGAATAATGTAGATTTGCATGGGTTATCGGATATATGTGTTTCAGAGTCTGTATGAGAAACTACGAAACATAAAATGTCAACGCAAGACTCGAAACAGTGTCCACTGGGCTTAAAAACAAAAATTATATAAATGGATCAATGAAAATAAGTGATGACACCAGGTGTTCGCGAAAAGGGCAACCATGGCTGTCCTGCCCGACTGGTAGCACTCGCCATTCACACAATACCAAATACATGTTTGTTGCCTGAAGCCGCACAGCAGTACTCCTGTCATGCGACGACGGCCTGCAAACAAACAAGACAACCAAATGCTGGACCAGAAAAAGCAGTGCCACGATAGCGCATTTACTTATTTTGTTGGAACTAAAAACGATATGTTAATGTTGAATTGGTGTGTTGTGAACAAGTGCAGAAATTAACTGCTTATAAAGTAAAAAGAAAGTCAACAAAATATGTTCATCGGTTGCCCATGTGCTAAATTGTGGGATGACCTTCCTCAGTTTCTCGTTATAATATAATTAGTCCTACAATGATGTATTTATGTATGGGGTCACTATATAGTGACTCACTGGTGCACACAGGCCAAACTTCACCTGAATTGCATAATAACGAACACAACGCTTGAGGGCATTACTACACCCCCCTTCATGTTGTAATTAGGTTTTGAGGCTTGGCCTAATTATTAACTAATTGTAAATTCATAACAGTAAAGTTTTGGATGTTTTAAAAAAGCTAATTGGTTGAGGGTTTTACTCAGCTCCACTTATTGTCCTGAAAATAATGCATTTTGAAATCAAAACATTGTTCGACTCTTTCTTTCAGATACAAATATAAATATTGAATCAGTGATCGAAACAACATTTTCTCACAAAAATCCAAGAGACTCACTCCTGTTAATAACAATTTGTTCATTGAGAAAAATAGACTCCCGGGCGAAAGAAAGTATATGCCCATGTTTGATGGTGGCTGAAAATTAAACAAACAATTCCATGGTAATGTATTTAATACGGGTATCACAGTTGTGTTTTGGACCTAAAGTATGCAGTGTTTACGGCCTAGTGTCGTAACTATAACAATTTTTTCATAAAGAAAAATATTTGACCATTTTTTGCGGAGCATCTGCGAATGAAACTTGAACGCTGAGAATGTTTAATTTTGTAGTATGTATGCATATATTTTATATACTTGAAATATACTATGAAAATTATTACCATAAAGGGAAGAATGAATACAGACATAATTATTTTATAACATTATCGTTAAATAAGGAAGCAATATACATTCGATATATTCCGCAAAAGTCCGAGTAAACCGCAGAGGACTGCAAAAGTATTACGGAAGGATTACACGGGAATGAATGCGTGAATAAACGCCCTCGGTGAAATGTCTGTGAAAAGGAAAGAGCTGGATCTTGATGAATGTATCGCTCTTAATTTATCTGGGATAGCTGAACATCTCTTAGAGCCATTCCTTAATTGCATAATGGGCATGGGATAGGACATTGTCTCAGATAAACAATCAATGCACACGTGACATTAACGATCATCAAGTCAATGTCATTAAGCAATAAAGTAATGAAGAAAATAATGCAACAACGATTAAGTTCGAAATATGTGAATAGCATAATTGCATAACCTAATCTAACGCTGTAGCCGTAACTCTCCAATAGCCAGTCCTTAATTACATCAGGTACATGGGATAGGACTTCCGATTGGTCACCTCTTTTATTTCTGAGACATAATTAATTACCAGCTTATTATACCTGAAGTGTATATAAACCCGGTCAGATAGATACCAGCATTATCTCAGGTTCTTCTCGAGTACAAATCTACCATGGCTTTCCTTTCAGTAGCTCTTCTATCTATTATAGCTCACCTGGCTTTAGGTCAAGGTTGGGGTCAGAGTAACTCACGACTTAGTCAAGGTAATGCAGGACTTGGTTTGGGACAGGCAGGGGCTTCCTGGGGCCAAGCCGGACTTGGTCAAGGTAATGCAGGACTTGGTTTGGGACAGACAGGAGCATCTTTAGGTCAAGCTGGACTTGGACTTGGCTCTGCTGGGTTTGGATTTGGTGCCGGTGGACTTGGATTTGGTACCCATGGACTTGGGATTGGAAGAACAGGTTGGGGTCAAGCAGGGACAGGATGGGGCCAGAACATTATCAACCCTTATCTGAGTAAGTATTTACATATACTTTCATTTTCTTTACAGCCACTGTGCAACCAGGGTAAGGTTAACCCTTTCTATGACCATCCTACGCCCAACCGCGTACACTGGAAATGCTCGATGTTTTAAACACATTGTGCTGTTGAGTGTGCTGAAGCAGTGACCAAAACCACATCCCCGAGGGCACCGCCTTAGATGAGTGAACGATTGATCTCAAAGAAGCTTATACACTTTTACTTATTTACTACTTAAACGACAACTTGTATGTGTATATTGCGTAACATAAAGTGCTCAACTGTGTCTACTTTCCCACCAGATACAACCATTACATGCACTGGAACAGCAACAGGTTTTGCTATGTCTCTTACCCTGAGGAGGATGCAGCCAACTTGGGGAGGATGGGGTGTAAGTAGTTTTACTTATTGACTGAATTGGTCTGGAGTTTGGGTTTCTTTTTGAAAGACAATACTACTTTAATATTACTCTCGTGAGTTGTGCGTTTTGAAACGAACATAGCTTTTTTTTCATTATAGATTGGTCAGTCTCGAAGTACTAGTGGTCTGACTGGATCTGCCGTTCTGAGGACTACAACTGTGTCAGGAACTTACAACCTCGTTATCACTGAGAGATCTCGTGTGGAGGCTGGATGTACCGCTGATGGACTCGGTCCTGTCCTTGGAAGGTAAGGAAAGGGTTGCGGAAGTTAAAACATGATCTCCCCATTAATATGTTTAAAGAATTTTCACAGTTAAAATGCATTTTTATCATGACTCAAATGAGCAAATATCAAATGCATCTTAAATATCATACTATTTCATACTGTGTGACATTGTTTTTAAACACCCACAATGTTTTTAAAATTCCAAGCGTCTCACCAAGAACATCTTTCAAGAATGTTTTTAAGAATTTTAAATTTTCACAGTTAAAATACATTTCCTCATGACCGGAAACGAGCAATTGTCAAATGCATCTTAAATACCACACATTGTCTCTTCTACAGCAACGTGTGGGGCCAACAGTGGGGTCAAGGTCTTGGTCAACAGTGGGGTCAACCATGGGGACAGCAGTGGGGACAAGGATGGGGTCAGTCATGGGGCACTGGAACGACCACCACCCCCGGAGTTGTCACCTCTGTCACCCTCACTACAAACCAGGAGACTGTCATTGACTTGGGCTCTGCCAACCTACCATTCAGACAGCTCGAGAGATACGGAGGACGTGGGATGGCTGTAAGTAGTTTCTTTTAATCGTAGACTCATGATACTTGTTGGCTATAATGTCCATTCAAAATCAAACCTTCCAACGCCATTTCAGGGAGATAAGAATGACAGTGAAATACGATTTGAGGTGATTCACATGATTATTAATACGTGACTCAGTATTTTTTAAAAAGAAATGATACCAGGTCAGATCCGTAACAGATAAACTGGCGTTCTTACGAAAACGCCCTAAACTCTATAAGACAAACAAATGACATTAGCTTACTTCTGTTACTTCTGACCCGAAGAAGGTGGCTATTATTCAAAGTTCAAACCCACCGACAAGGTAAACGGGAAATTAGAATGTTACAAAAATTCACAAAATTCTCAATGCGAGAATCAGTCATTTTATAAAACGAAGGACATCAGGTCAGGCCCATAAGAGATAAACATGCGTTCTTATGAAAACGCCGTTAGCTCTCAAAGACAAACAAATGACATTACCTTACTGCTGTTTTCAGCTGTGTACATCCTTGACCACTGGCACCGATGGACGTCAAGTGTGTGTGGAGCCTATCCTGGCCTGTTGCAAGTTGGGATTCGACAACATGGATGCTGTCACACCGACACCTCCATAAACAGTCTGAGTTATCTGAAGGCTACAACAAGTGTGTGAATGCTGTATGTAAACTGCATGTTATGTGAATACTATTCTTAACTTATGAATTTCTGATATTTCTCATCTCATGTGACAGAACTACATTAGTTGTATTAATATCATTGCTTGTTCTGTTCATCAACAATCATTATTAATGCTCGTCACAAAGATCATAGGAGGTATTTATTTTACAAATAAAAAGTACGAAAACAACACGTGTTACATACTTCTTATGTCAAAAGAGCATTCGTGATAATGTGCAAACTGGTAATGTGTCAGCATACACATGTGAGTTTAAGATCACAGCTTTGGTAGACGAAGGGTTATTCAAGTCCAAAGGAATCATGCTGGATCAAAGCTTTGATAGAGAAAAGGGTGAATCAAGCCCAAATCACGCATGTTGCATCATAGTTTTGAAAGGTGGCACGTGTGACCCTGGGGTCTAAGGGGCCACAATGATTTGTTTAGAGTGTGCTTTCAATGTATATTAATACGGCTGAAACACGTTTCAAATCTGTGTAAACCTTACCTCTCTGGTAGACTTCGGAGAATACGATGTGAAACAACCATCAAAGGCTAATAACGTAACCACCACTCACGCTTCTCCAGCATGTAGTGTATGAGAATACACCGACAAAATAAGTAACTGACGACCCAAAACTGATTATATTTGTGGTATTTATATGACAACGTCTTTGTCAACCAGACAAGACTTGGTTATATGTTACCCTGAAACATAAATGGGCTTCAAAATTAAGAAAGTACCAAATCACAAACGCTTTTCTACCACGACACTGAAGAAGGCCTGATTCTGATTAATCAACATAACATTATATCGGAAAATTCACAAGCTTTTTCACTCAAATGCTTGCATGCGAAAACATTTATCTATCGATGCATATCGCCGATAACCCATTAGAATACGTTTGATATATGTACATTATCAGATGTTTTTGTCACTGACTGGTACGCTGCACACGCACTTGAACAGACCAGCTTATCAAATATGATGAAGTTTATTTCAGAAGACATGCAATAGTTGTTACCAAGTTCAAATAAAATATACCAGGTCTTACACACTTCTTATGTGAAAACAGAATTAGTGATAGTGTGTTAGCATGCACATGCACAACAGATTTGATAGATGGAAGGGTGACTCGAGACCAAACAATCCATGTTTGATCACAGCTTTGATAGATGAATAAATCAGTGAGTGTGGTTTTGCGCCACTTTTAGCAATATTTCAGCAAAATCAGAATATCATAAATTAGCTTCACACATTGTACACAAGTGGGGAATCGAACCCGGCGTGACGGACGAACGCTTTAATCACTAGGCTACCCCAACATCCCCCTTTGATAGATGAAAGGGTACATCTAGTCCAAAAATGCATGCAGAATCATGGCTTTGATAAGTTTCACGTGGTCCCATGAGGTCTGAGAAGCCACATGTCATTTGTAGAGTGCACTTAGGGTTTTCCATTTACATTGATATGACGAGCCTTTATGTTACTGAATATATTTCAAATTTCAAACTCACCTCAGTTAATCATTGCTGCACTAAACGTATTATCATATACAATTTCTACCATGACACAAACGAATGCTTGATTCTGATTTGTCAAAATAGCATTAAAATCGGAGAGTTAACAAGCTTTTTCACACAAAAACTTGTATCTATCGATGGCCTACACATCTACGCATGATATCTGAACATTATCATCTTGTCAAACATGATGAAATCTATTTCAGAACACATTCATTAATAACGTGGCTCATTCAACAGATAGTTGTAACCTTCTGCACCGCTCTAACATAGTTCATTCTAGTGTAATCTTTCATCTGTGACGGAAACAGGATTAATACATTTGATTTCTAAAGTCACCACAGCTACATAAAAGCATGTCCATACTGAAGGATTGGAACCAATTTTAATACCTCTTCATGAAATGAAACAAATAACTTGTCTTCAATAAGTTTGAAATCTAACCATGTTTTGATCATTTGGAGTTTGTGTATAGTTGGACGACATTATTCACGTAATTATGTTCTCAACACCTTTAGATTAAAGACATTAAACTTTCATTTCTTTTTGCATGTACTATCAATAATGAACTTAATTGATTGTAAATCATCTCATACTGATGAACAAGCGGCCTATGACGTTGTTTCTTTGCACTTCTGTTAATCTTGGCATGTTGTTGAATTGTTGAATTTCGACTGACGCAGATGCCAGGCAATCAAAAACTCTGCACTTTAATACCGTTCATAGTGCTGCTGCACGTGCAGTACGTGCAGCTCCATGGCCCTTTTGTTGATGTACTGGGTGCGTTTTTTCCGAATCGTACGTGTTTCCCGACTAATGGTTTGGATGGCCTTGTGATTATTTTGATCCGGGAAATGTGTCGCTGACACTATAACATATTAAACTTCTTCATTTCGCTAATTTTGCTTTTATGGCCAACGATATCCGTATTGCGTTTCCTTTGTTGAAGAGTATACATTGTCATCACATCCCGTTCAAACACTCTCTTTTCACTTCGTCTTCCACGCCTCGTTAATACTATTATCTTATCTTTGTACATTAATCCTATGTAAGTATAACCTGACTGCAGATAACTATACATGACGCTTCATAATGGGGCGAGAGTTAAGTACATTTGATATCTTAAGATGATGCCTGTTCACTCTGAATAGTCTTGAGGGGTTCCCCTCCCACGTGTCTTTTGTAATTGAAAAATGCTACTAAGATTATACTAAATCCTACGTATACTAAACCTTATACTCTGAGGTCTTAGGCCTTATGACCTTTATATAATACGATTGTATTGTCTTTTCATCTGCAATGCCCATAATATCGGAAACCAGGTGTTCGAAAATGGCTGCGCTTGTTCCATGCCCATCGGAAGAGCGAGCAACAGATTATGTTTGGCAATAAGTGACACATTTGGCTGTATGTGCCATCATGTACATTATTCAAAGGTCTCGGTTGTTTATAATTATGCTAAATGGTGGGATGATCATTCTCAGTTTCCCGTTGTAATATAGCTAGTCCTATAATGATGTTTATCAACGATATCCCCATTCAAGAAGTAAAAGGTCATAAGCACTCAGGTATAACACTTCAGTGTGGTTGTTCGTGGAAAACTCATATCAATGACAAAACAAGTTAGTCCCATGATATAGAAGTTTGAAATACAGGTCATCTTAAAACATATATAGAGAAAATGTATAAATCTTTCATACTGCCTATGTGCGACTTCTGTTGTCATATTTGGGACAAGTGCACACACGAACAATCTTTATTATTAGAAAACCTGAAATGAATTCCGGTATTGCACGTGAAGATATCAGTAAACTTATTCCAGCTCATATTTAAAAAAATAACTATTATAATCTCAGGGGTGGATCTAGTTTACAAACAATGAACTGTAGGACCAAGGCATATGCACACTCGCTTCTCCCTAGTTCGATACAACTGTGGGACGCTCTTCCCAGAGGACTCAATTAACATTTGCTCATTAAGAGAATGTAACACATTCATCAATGGCCTGACACTACAAATAACTATAAGCTTAAATTTCGGTTCGAGCAATATTCTGTCATAGGCCTATCATATTATGCATTGTCGCCTCAGGCTCGGCTGCATTGAGTTTAACGCTTAAAAATTCAATCGATATGTATCGGACAGATCGGACTGGAAATGTGTTTTTTTTCGAATATCCTTCACATTTGTTTTTTACATACAGAAAATATGACAATATTACAAGGAATATGCACTTTTACAACCATGGAAAACAGTTTTATACACAAATTCTTTAGAAAATGACTCAATAAACATGAAATTCTTAAATTAGTCCACGATTGTCTTTTCAAAAGCAAACGATTCGTATAGTTGGTACAATAATATAAATCAATTTTGGAAAAAACCCATTGAAATTGTTATACTGTACTCCTTTAGTTCGGACATCGCTATCTCCAGTTTACGGATACATTCTTTGTATAATTGCCTACTTAACACGATAATGTTTATATTAGTTCACCAGCTAGAATCTGTGAAGCTCAGAGCGGTATTTATATAAGCAATGCTTTTCGTTTACCAATCCAGATTTCAATTCTTAAATATAATATGTTTAACCCATAATGACATGTGTATGTGTCGGGTCATTATATAGTGACACACCAGCACACAGAGGCCAAACCTGATCCTGACTGCATAATAACGAACTTGTTGCTTGGGGGTATCGCCTAATAATTAACTATTTGTGCTTCTAATTCCAAACTATACAATTTTGGATGTTTACATAAATAATTTGTTGCGGAGAAAGGTTGTTTTGCCTCAGCTTCGCTGGACATGCAGGATGTCCTGAAAATAATAACGTAATTTGAAAAGAAAGCATTGTTCGACTCTCCCCTTCAAATACAAATATTAATCATGAATAAATGAAAAGCTCACAGGGACTCACTTCTGTAAATAACAATTTGTTCATAAAGAAAAATTAACTGTAGGGCGAAAGAAAGGAAACACCCATGTTTGGTGGTGGCTGAAAATGAAAGAAACAATTCCATGGTAATATATTTGATACGGGTATCATAGCTGTGTTTTGAACCTTAAGTTTGCAGTGTTTACGGCCTGGTATCGTTTTGATAACGTTTGTCATTTTTTGGTCAAATCCAATTTTCAAGTGTATACTGTTTTTTAAACGGGAGTTTATTATAACAATTATTTGCATACTATTTGAGCATGAAAATGAAACGCTGAGAACATTTTACATTGCATATGTTTAAAAAACTTTATTCATGATAATAATTATAAATAATATTATCGCAAAGAGAAATTTTTAAAGACGGACCATATTTTCTTGTGCCATTATTGTCAGATGAGAATGCAATGAACACCATATATAGTTAACGAAAAAGTCTGGATAAACCGTTTAGCACTGAAGAAATATTAAAGACGGATTACACAGGAATGGATGTGTGAATTGCACTATTGCATAACGTAAATAAACGCTATCAGTGAAATGTCTGGAGTGCAATAGATCACTTAAAGCCAGTCCTTAATTACATAAGGTACATGGGATAGGACTTCCGATTGGTGTCTTCTTTTATATCTGTGACATAATTAATTACCAGCTTATTATACCTGTAGTGTATATAAACCGGGTCAGATAGATAACAGAATTATCTCAGATTCTTCTCGAGTACAGATCT